TAGTTCCAGGGTTTATCATCTGTTTTAACAAATGAAGCTGAAATTACTTTTAAAACGTGGTTGAACAGACGATGCTTCACAAAGGGAAAAAAGGCCAGTCTTTTCCTCCAGGGATCTTAAATAATTCTCCTCTGGTTAATGTTGGTGGTTGTGTTATAAGCTAATAACCAGATATGAATCACGATGGATTCAGTGGTTATTCCTCCTCGGGGCCTCATTGTTACATGGAGGTCCTGACCCCGGAGCCGGTGGTTTGGGAGATGTGGTTTCATGCTCCTCCATGCTTAATTAAGTTGTAATTATAGTCTGATGTACGGAGCTTATTTAGACTGCATCGTGGCATAAGGCAAATGCATAGGCTAGAAAATATTTTGTACGGTTACTTTTAATTATTCTCTCACGTTTTTATGCAACACAAATAGTTCAGGTAAAAAGATATTGTGCATATTGCTAGTAACATTTCATATTTGCCAACAACATTTTTTGATTGTAGATCGACCAAAACATGCTTACAAAATTATATTTGCTCCACTGACTAAAGATAAAAAGCTGCTGCAGTACAAAATAAATCTTAGGTTTGAAAACTTTAGTTCTGTTGTTTAGTTAGGCTGCATCTCACAAAGGCAGTCAGCCACTAATTTATATTAAATGCTGCAGACTGGAATAGGATGGTGATAATAGGTGGATTTATTGGCGTCACTTTAAACCAGACTATCCCATAACCACAGTTTAGGGATTACGTGTAGTTAACGTCAACATGTCAGACTAAACGTTGTTACTGAATGTCTGTGATATTTGCGTATTTACGCAGCGTATTTGGCTGGAGCATTCATATTGATTAAAGCATAGGTTTTAGAAGTGAAGGCTACTGTTTTTATTTATTTTTTCTCCCTTAACATCCATTCACAGCGTTATATATAGGGTACTGTTTGGTAAGGCAACAATTAAAACGCCCGTTTCCTAATTCACGTTATTTGCCAATGACCGTATAATTCGCATGGGACAACGTTTTCGAATACACTCAGGGATACCCGGATGATGCTACAGGCGGAAAAAGGAAAGGTAAAACATTGGATCATTGCACTTTGCTTATCTTATTTGAACTAATCTGTATAACAACATATAATGGTTAAGGTGGTGACCCCCGAGGTCTGCATACATGTAACTCGTTGTTAATGTTGGAGAGCAATATACTGCGACAATGCAGAATTATATTAATAATCTAAAATAGGTTTTGTTGTTTACAGCTGTGATTCATATGAGTCTTTCACTTTACCGTCATCTCTCCAAACGGCAACAATCCGCAGAAGCTGTAAAGAATGAGAACAAGCACCGAGACAGACAACAGACACTGCCTCGACTGTCAGGCAGATTCACAAATGATTACATCATGCAAACATCTAACAGTTAGCACACTTTTCAGATTTGCATTAGTTATATTTTGGAAAAATAAAAACAGGGCCAGCAGAAGAACGGTAGAAATGTGAGTCAGTTCGTGCCTTGGGGTTTAAACCCAAGCTTACAATTAATTATATTGACAAGAACATTAAAAGGTGAAAGATCCCTTCGTGTCACATCGCTGTCTTATAATCAGCTGTTGAAAATATGTTCCATTGTTGTTGAAAATGCACACATTTTCCAAGGTCATATTACTGCAGAGCCCTCTTAAAGGGGATGTTCCAGTCCAGCCATCGTTAGCATGAAGAGACAGTCAGTGGCGGGAAATAAAACTTAGACTAAAGTGTTTCTTCCTCTGCATGTAAGGAGCCTGAACCTGAACACAAAACAGAACATTGGAATAAAATGTATATTTTGTAATAGGGATGCAGATCAGCGTGTGTTTATATTTGCAATGCAGCAGAGGCTCTCACTTCACCTGCAAGACAAGCTTAATAGGATTTACAGCTCAGGTGAAATTAACTGTATTCCCCCATAACGCAAACACTGTAAACCTTTATTCAAATATCCGGCAACTTCTGACTTACACATAACACCTTTGTTTTTGTTTTGAAAGCTTATAGTCAAGAGGACACAAGCTAAGAAACTAGAGGGTCAATCGTGCATCTTTGAACCATTCAGGGGGGTTTCTAAATGTTCGCAGTATAGGCTACAGGACATGTTAAAGCATAAATGTTAAAAAAGTTAAAAATGCAGTGGTAAAGTTAGAAAATGATCAGCATTCTGACATTTATTGTGTAATCAGAATAATGTGTTTCCTTTCAACTTTAAGAGGGATCATAATAATTAAAATAAAACAGCCTGTCTTGTTCAATGGATTAAGGGTGGTGCATTGAAAAGACTATACTGCAGAATAGGAGGTTACTGTTTATAGAAAGGGTTCATTTATATCGGCAGTTATTCGATTTTCAAACTGAGACAGACTTTTATTTTGAAATAATTATTAAAACGCTGCATAATGTATAAGGATAATTACACGGCAGAATATGACTAATCATAATGTTTGGAATTGCGTTCAGTGTGTGACTGGGAGACATGTCAAATATAAATCAGGTTTATGGAGCAGTTTCACTTCGAAAACAAATATTCTGATTATGTCATAAGACGTGAGAGGGGACTCAGCAGGGGGAGCACAGGAGGAGAGGCATGTCTTAAAGCATGTCTTACAGCAGGGAGAGAGTGAAGGATAATCTATTTCACAACCGACCTGCAGCCGGGATGGACTTTGAACAAAGCGCGAGTCAGAGGTCAGCGCGAGACTGCAGCGCAAGACTGCAGCGCGTGACCGGGACAGAGATAGCAGCTCCTCTCTAATGAACGATCTGTCTGAAATTATGGTTTATAAAAGTGGTGCAGATAGCCTACAAAAGGCAATGTTTAAAAACAATATATCGTTTTTCCTGCTAGAGTTTAACCCGTTCGTTTCTGCTGGAGGAAACCTGCTCTTACGAAAATACGTGAAATCACTGCGACCTCTTGACACTGATGGGTCATGGTCGTATCAATGTTTAATTATCGAGCCATGCAGGTGTGTAAACTACATAAAGAAAGTAAATATTACAAATTAATTAAGGTACTACAAAACATTTGCCACAGAGGGGAGAGCTTTTATGAACTGCTTGACAGAATCCGTTGTTGCCATCAATAGCCTATGCAACATTTCATATGACATTAGATAAATGATTTGTAGTTTTTCCATATAGTGCACAGTGAAAATCATTGCAGTCAGCAACTAAATAAAACTGAATTCATGCAGTAACCTTCAATATAAGGGTTACAAGTGCACTTTGAATAGAATAAAACATGTTAGCACATTACAACAGAAGAAAAATAACAACAAACACTTAAAGGTAAGCCTAACTCAAAATACAGTACATGCACTTAGACAACAAATAGGTCTTAAGTTGTGATTTAAAACACCCTAAAGTAGAGTTTTAGTACATCTACAAGCAGCATAATTACAGTACATAAAAACAATAACACAGTTGTATTTTTTATGCAAAAGGGAATTTCCTTTCTTCTTATGGTTTGTTGTCACAAGGTTTCTATCTAGACTGCAGAACAGACTGATTACATGTTTTCTCCTGACATGATGGAAATGTAAAAGTGACCTCCTCTGCTCACTAACAGGCAGGGAAGTTCCCCTTGTGAAAAACACCAGCATATGCAGATGATTAATATGGAGAATCAGGTCAACATGATGACCAAGTGCACATGCCCTGTGGAGGTTAAAAGGGTGTGAGCTGCCTTCACTCTGCAGAAATGTGCATTGGAAGTAAAAAAGTATTTATGAATCCTTTCACACAATCCACATCTCAACAATCCCCATCTTTTTATCCTGATCTTTAACAGGGGAAACCAGGACACTATGCTCTGTTCTGCTTTGCGTTATGAGAAGAGAAATGACTCACTTAAATAAATAACTACTGAGTTAAACTGTAACATGCTTAATGTGGTAAAGCCATTAGTAAAAGAGAGACAATGCTCTTGAAATTATTCTGTAAAGAGGCCGGTGTTTTCTTCTCTTACACCAGCAGGATGTAGGCTGCAGAGTTTGTACACAACTAATTAATAATCACTTGGTTTCACTTCATCTGCATCTCCTGTGCTTCAACAGAAAACCACAGATTTCTGGTTTCATCTCTGCAGTAAAAAGAGTGTCCTCAGTGTTATCTTGGCTTCATGAGTGACATACATCGATAATGCACGATAGAGCTAACTGTACGAACAGATATGTGTATATGGGTCAACATTACATTTACATTAAACAGATGAAGATTACAGAAGATTTCCATATAACATTTTACCACAGTGTAGACATTGAGCAAATACCTGCAGATATATTAAGTGGAAGTTGGCTACCAAATTATTATCATACATTTTTTTTAATTCTGCACAATGGCCCTGCAGTTAAGAATAATACAATATTATTTAATTCTAAATTGTCATGCTTTGATGTGTTCATCCCTTTAATGCTGCAGCTGAGCTTCTACTTCTACTAAGTAAAACTATGTGAACCAATATATCCATTTGTATTATATTTTGTATTATTAATCTCTATTTTAAAAGTAGCCTATAACATAATTCAAGAATTGTAGTGCAGTTAAAGTAGAATAGTTGCCTGTGAAGAGTAAAATAGGGAATAGAAGGAAATGGAAATACCCCAACATTGTAATAAAGTAAGCTTACTTAAGTACATGTAATTACTGTCCACCAAGTCCATTAGATTTCTAGCTTTCAGTGGGATAAGATAAGATCTTTATTTATATGGAAATTCGGGTGTAGCACCAGAATGAGACAGAAAAACAGCCCCCCCCCCCCCCCCCCCCCTCCCATCTGTTTCAGTGTGGTTATTAAACATGCAGATTGAACTGCAGAGACATCTCTCAGTCTGTGGAGCACTAACAGGAAAGATCGCATGGAAACCAACACATAAACTCCCAAAAGACCAATCCCCTCCCCATAAATATCGCTCCCAAACCCTCCTCTGGTCGACCCCCAGAGATTTCGCCCCGTGCTGCTCCACCACACGCTGATCAGCTGATCCGTCACGTGGTGTAGCTCAGCTCCGCCTTTTGCAAAATGGAGTTGTGTGAGTCTGTGCAGAGAGGGCTGCAGCAGCTCGCGGACCCCTCGGTCTTCATCACGAGCTGCTACCGGGAGCTTCTGGAGGTCTCTTACCGGAGCCTGCTCTCCTCTCAGGCGGACCCCGGAGTCCTCGGTGAGCCGCCGATTCTGGAGCTTCTGTCCCCGCCGCTGCTTCCGGTTTCTCCCCGAGTGGAGGAGCTGCATATGTGTTTGCGGGTTTCTGAGGCTCCGAGTTGTTTATGTTGTCTAAGCTACATCTTATAAGATCTGTAATGAGAGGAGTGGGTCATTTGCCAGTCTTAAGCTCTTATTAGTAATTTATGCTTTTGCCTGCTTTATATTCTGCCACACAATCCCTCTGGTTCCCTTTGTCATTCAAACGGTTCCACTCAACACATTAGAAACACCATGTTGGACTATTTCAATCAACATTAGTCAAAACTGATGATGGGGACACATCCGATTGTTAACAGCTAGTAGCAGGTCTTTCCTAAATGCATATTGGCAGCAGACTTGCATGCAATACAGCTCCTACTTTGTCATGGCTGCTGCTTCGGTTGTTTTCTCCATGTTTTGTCCAACTTCTGCAGCATTCCGACTCTTTATAATGGCAGAATGAGATAGAAAGTGCAATGTTCACCATGCAAACAAACAAAGGACCCCTGGCTGTTGCAGCTGAGGGGCCCATTCACATGCAAATCATGATTGATTTCCATTCTGCACGTCAATCTGGAGAGTATGGATCGCACATGTAGCCCACGTCCTTTTATAGGAGTTAAACGCGTCTGTCGTGTCCATGGAGAATATATAAAGTCCTCACAGTGTGTTTGTGTTGCAGATCAGGCCGAGCTGAAGCAGGTGGAGCGGATCGCGCTGAAGCAGAGTCACACTGCAGCCACCACCTTCATCCTGGAGGCGGTCAAACTCAACGCAGACAAGTCAACCATAAGGTTAGAGGTTTCCTGTAAAGCTGCTTTAGAACCCTGCACGTACACTCATTAGGTGCTGGTTTGTGGCTTTGGAAAGTGCTCATATCATAGTGTGACAGGAAAAAGCCAAACTGTTGCTCTATGTTCAGTATTTATAGTTAGCAGAGACAACCTGCTGATTACATCTCCCTCAGATCTTTACAACAAGATAATGAAATATGTAAAATATTAGTATAGTATATAAATTAAATGCTGCAAAGCAATTTGATTTACATTAGGTCATAGTGTTATTAAAGTCGATTACTAATGTGTTTTGAATGTTAATACTAAATGTGTTATGGGATGTCCTTTAAAAAAAAAAAAAAAGGTTTTAAAAAAAGTTTTCTTGGTAATTGCAAGATTTCTTGAACAGCATATGGATACAAGTCTTAATAATAAGTATGGTTTGACATATTAGTTTAAGTGGTTATTATATCACACCTTCTAGCAATTTTCCAAATGCATTGTCTTAACATTAAGCATTTTAGTCATTACAAATAGATTTTAATCAGTAGAAATGAAAGGAGATATTTTGAAGGTGTCCAACCATACAGCTAAAGAATATTTAACACTTCCAGGAATGTATTTTTATTATTTTGTTTTCTTTTTTTACTCCCTTAAAAACCCATCTTTTGAATTTTCTTGTAGTTCTTCATGTTCTAAAACTACATTTGAACTGTGACTAAACCTTTTGGACAATGGAGACTTGAACATTTAACTGAGGGCTGGTGTGTTTGTTCTCCTGCTTGTAAAGGATAAACATACATGTGGTAAAGTTATATTGCCAGTGTCCAAAAATGTGAAATGTTGCTATTTTAAAGTTTGCTATTCTTTGGGTGAAATGTAATAATGTGTTTTTCGGTTCTTGCAGCTCCTGCCTCGAAGAGCTCACATTCAGTGCAGAGAGAATAGACATTTTCTATGAAGCACATCAGGTGACAGTTCAAACTACATTACATATGTAGAAATAAATCATTTTGTTGCTGATTTGCTCATTTATACTGATTGTTTTACAGAAACATAAAAAAGAACTGGAGCGACTGTTAGCAAGGTGAGTCTCATTGGTGGAGGTTAGTTTTTAGTTGTGTTATCCAAACTGAATACATCTCCATTGAACTGGGTCATGAGATTTTTTGTAGAGATTAAAATGAAACATTGCATCATTATTTACAATTTTGCTCAGAATGTTCACTGATCATCAAACTTTCAATTGTTTTGTTATTCAACTCCACTGATGATTAATGAGGAGTGGGGGAAGACGCACGGATCGAAAGCAGAGAATATCTGAGTTCAAATAGTTTTGATGCAGTCTCAAATACCTGGCAAAGTTGTAATATTATAAAAGGAAGAGCACGGAAGTTGTTGCTTCAGCCCAGTGAGGAGCAAAGAGGGTCAAAGGGGACATGGAGTGATTCATTGCAATGTAAATGTTTTATGACCCTCTTTAATCAAGAGAAGCTTTGTCTGCAAACGGATTTGAAAACAGTTGCAAAGAAATTGTCGATTTATAAAAATAAAGTTTCTGCACCTCAGAAAAAGTTGACCAACAAAACTATAAACGGGGTTAAATAACTCCTAATGGATATTTCTAAAATACTAAAAGCGAGATGGATCTGGCTAAAAATGCTCAAATCAGAGGAATTTCCAGATCAGCTTTTTCTCTTTCACTTTAAGAAGAAATTATACATACAATTATGTTGAATCTAAGTCTTTTTCTGTGTCTCCCCCCTATAGCATAGGAAGGTGTCCCCCTCATATTAACGATGTGTCGTGGCGTCTTCAATACCACGTGAAAGTACATTAAACACTATTTCGAGCACGTCTTTTTTTTGACACTTTCTTGCTCCAAACTAAAATGTTGTTTCCCCGACAGAACAATCAGGTCGATAAGGTCAACGAGCCTTTCTACTGCATTGCCCTGAACACTGAAGTAAGACTAACACTTTTATGCATATCCTACACTTTTCTTGATTTTTTTTTTAATGCATATGTTTGGTGCGTTTCTGTGCGTAAAACAACGATCTTGTTTGTTTCCTTTTGTCAGAATGAAGGATCCCCGGAAGATATAAACTTCACATGCACAGTGGAGCAGCTGCAGGTATAGAGGGGGGGTTTATTTCCTGTCACTGTTATTCCAGAATTACACCGTGTTGCAGATGCATGAATAGCTTTTACGCACAACATGCAGCATGTCTACGGGAAAGCAGAAGTGAAAGTCGAGTCACGGAGCTTGTTGCAATTTTCCTCCTCAGTCAGGACAACTTCCAAAGAAAATACATGTTATAATTGTATCATATCTTCGCGATCAAATGCTTGCTGCAGAAGAACATTTGCAACATACTGTCCCCGATATAGTGATGCATCAAGTTGTTAAAAATGGGCATTATGCATCGTCACCAAACCAAGTTCCAGTGTGACTTCGACTGTATGATGCTTTCTGTTTGAAGTGAGAGCCGACCAGTATTTAAATCACGTGTGCAGCAATCATATTCACGATGCAAAATATTTGGTGAATTAAAATCGACATCGAGTCTAAATAAATCGGGGACAAGTCGGAAGGAATCAAATAATCTGCACGCATGTTTACTTCTTATTTGTCATTAGTAGCCTATAATTCAGAGCGTAAATGTTAGGCTACTTTTTAAATCGTTTATTTTTGGCGGACCTGTTCTTGTTGAAAACGATTGCCTGTCTGCAGGATTTGGTGGGGAAGCTGAAGGACGCGGCTAAGTGTGTGGAGAAAGCCAGTCAGATGTGATGCCGGTGTCCAGTTTCCGCATGTTTCTGCTCCACAAAGCACTGAACCTCAGCAGCTCCAGCGCACTGCTTTCCTCTTTGTAGCTTATTTTGTACCTGAGATTGACAAGACGTGTATGCATGCGAGACAATTATCATTCCAGCTTTTGTGTTTCAAATAAAACTGAAAAAAAAATACATTAAAAAATCCACTTTCTGCTTTGAATAATTCCACGGGTTGATGTGCGCACACCGTCTAAAAAACGCTACATTTAGTGGGGATTTATTTAACTTTATTATTAAGTTGATGCCAACGTTGCAGATTTTATGTCAGAGATTAAGATTGTAACTGCAGGCTTGTGTTTTCACTAGGATTTTTGCCATATTTTCATTTCTTCCTGCTCTGTTGCGCTTTTTCCTGGATGACTGGTGACAGGGAGTTATTTTTAAAAGACAAACATACATCTTTGACTTTATTTTCGTTTTCCTGCACTGCCCTAAGAATGTCACTCCCCTTTTAGACTTTCTTAATCTTCTACATCCACCTCACAGCTGACAGTTCAAAGCCCCTCAGCTGAAGCTCCACAGCGGCTCATGTTCCATAAACATCCGAGATGCCTTCATTTTCTGCGGCGCTGGCTGCGGGATAAAGCCTCCAATTCATCACGTGGAAGTTGCGGCGCATTTTTTCGCAGATGTCAGGACAGCCTGTGACAAAGGTTTGACACCAGAGCCATTAGTCACATGGACGTGTTTTAACCAAGTGCGTGGGTCTTTTAAAGGCACGATGAAAAGAGATTAATAAAGTGACTGCCTGCTGCTCGGGTGAGTGGATTGAGGCATTTTGAAGTCGACATGAACGTGCAATGCGTGTGGTTATTTTTAACACCAAGGCACACCATAGCCTACTTATAGACGCCTCTAATCTTAGTGCCATTTAAAAGAAGGAGAGCCTATTGGGAGTGTGACCTTTTGAGGTCAAAAGTACACTATGTGATTCATGTTTATTAGGCCTATGTTATTTTAAATCATGCGTCATAGAAACAAAATAGTTCAAACAGTTTTTTCGCACTGTTGTGTTTTTTAGCTAAAGTTACGCACAAACAGCTGCTTAGGCTACTTAATTGGATTGGATGGATAAAAGACTATTTATATGTAGGCTACATGCGTGTGTTTTAATAGTATGTGTATGCAGGCTGGGAGACGTACACCGACAGTAATTCCTAGGCACCCTTAAGCAACGAGACCACGTGACCAAAGCGGGGCGGTCGAACTACAAGCCATTTTGGGGACGGTGTCAGTTTGCACGGAGCACACACACACACTGCTGCTGCATTTTACTGGGGGGTGAAGCGGATATTTTGGAGGCAAAGTTATCGGTGCCAGAGTGGAAACCTTCCCGATCCGGAGCCGCAGGACTGGGTTGTTTTGGAGCCTCGGATCGGATACGCTCTCAGCGCACAGGCGGCGAGGAAAGGTTTTATTCGCACATCTGAAATGCGCTCCGGTCCGCCGTGCGCTCTCCGCCACTGACAGCGTCTGCAGCTTCAAGATGGCGGCTCGGCTCCTATTCATTTTCTGCTGATCTGCCTCACAACTTTCATTGTCTATTCGTCCGAAGATCCACCGATCCCCAGCCAAGCATCCAGGTACGTCTTCTTCGATATCGTGTCTAACTAACGGGGGCAGCAGGAGAGGTTTGGCTCGGTGCTTTTGTGTTTTTTCTACGTACCGATCCAGCGGTGGATGTGGAGCTTTCAGCTGCAGCGATCACCGACGTGGAGCTCGGTGTGTCTGCTCAACACTTTTCTGCAAAACATGTTCCCCGTTTGGACAAAAAAGCGATTTCTGATCCACGGAGACTCAGTGTAGCTGTACCTTCTTATCAGTCATGTGTCTGTATGAGCTGATCTCGGCTGGGGTTTGCTTTGCTTCGTTTGGATTTATGTAAAGTGGAAGATCTCCGGCGATCCAGCCTGTGTTGGCTGAGATGTTAACAACAGCAAGTGCTCCAAACGCTCCTTCTGCGCTATATTTCCATACAGCTGCTTTATTTTATAGAGTTGGGTTGTTTGTCTGGTTGGGAACCCGATGCTATGTTGCTTTTGGCTTTGTTTGACTAAATAATGGATTTATTAACTTAACTTGGATTGCTCCCATACTTGACATGGAGGCTCACAATTTCCACTGTGCATAAATGTTTCATAACGGCTGCTTGGTAAACACTGGATCCTCGTTAAACACGCACTGTGGATGTTTGTGTTTAGATGTATGGTTTCCATAATTTAGAAGGATGGTTGGTTTTTTAGGTAAATTAAAAAGAAAAGTGGCGACACCTCGGCCAGGAGGATACAAAGGCTGGCTGTGTCTCGCGAGCTGCCACAGCTTTGGTTGTTTCTGATTTAAAACATGCTATGGTGAGCATTGGATATTTGTTTGTTGACATGTAAGATTATCATGGATTTCATATGTTCACCCTCATACGGCTAAATATGTTGGTGCTGTGTCTGAATCTGGAGCCACAGGACTGGAGCTTCTGTCTCTTGGGTGATACAAAATTATTATTTTACTCATGAATGCTGTTGGGCACTCTCTGTGTGCTTAATGGGTTACAATTAATGTATTTCCCCCCACTTGGGTTGAACATCTCACGGGTCTGGTGATATGTTGTTATAGCCTCTCAGACTGGATGGTTTCCAGTGTGTGTTGAGAATCATTTAACACGCCAAACTCAGAATGATTCCAAAAGTTTCATGTGGTCATTTAGGAATCCCCTAATATTTATTTCTAGATTTTCTGTATTGACTGAAAGTGGTGAATATGGGTTCTTGGTTTTTCCCATTGCTGATTTTAATTGGGTTATTTCCAGCTGCTGTTGATTTACGTGTAAGGGGAACCTTTACAAGAGGAGCTGCTCTCGTTTTTTGGATAAATGAGGCTTTGGGTCATTGCAAGAAGCGAGGGGAAATCTGCTCATTTGTTGATACTTGACTGACATAGGCCTAATTAAACATTTAGTGGCGATTCTGAATTTCTGATGACGTGTTATCAAAACAGGCTCAATAATTAAACCTATCCATCATAAGAACAATATGTGATTCATATTCATGCACAGTCTGTGTTTTTGGACTTGTTTTGCTGTTGGTTCTGCAGCCCCATGAATTCACTCTGGATGTGAGGGATGATTGACTCAGAGTTTTATAAAGTGCAGCTCCCTCAGGACAGGGAGAGCAGTTGTCCAAACACACGTCAATCGATTAATGGAGCAACAGGCTCCCTGCATGTACCAGACATTATCCATCATGATCCATGTGTGGAGTCCAAGTCGCTGTCCAAACTGCGGTCCTGCCCCGGGAGAGGTCGGGTGGAGCATTGAAAGCGGCCGGGGCTCGGGCACGGTGCCGGCTGTGTCTCCATAAAGTAACAGTGTGGGACAGGCTGGCTATCATCCAAGCACAGCCCCCTCTTGGTGTAGCTTATTGACTTTTAACGACTTTAAATTATCATTATGGCTCAGTTTTATTAATGCGCATCGATTTGGATCATTGTTTACCAACCTTACAAGATACATTTACCACATGGCTATGGCTAATTACTGGGTAAAATGCACAAACGACAATACTCTGGCACTAATTCACGGTTTGAGTTTAAGCTGTTTGTTCTAACCAGGTTTGTAAAGTCCAATGCTAATATGCGCAAAGTGTAAGCATAAGCAGTGTTGACGTTAAATAAAGGGTTTATGTGTTGATAATGGCGCATAATAAATAAGTATGATCCAGTGTGTGCAGTAACTTCAGTGTCAGCTGCCTGCTGCTTATCGCGCACACAACAAGAGAAACGGCGCAAAGCGAACCACAATAACCCGAGATTATTCCCTATTGGACCCAAACTGCTCCATATGGTGCATAAAGATTTGCGGATCTCATGTTCTCGCGGTTTTATTTATCCCCTTTTGCACGGAAACCCCGCAGCCCGTTGAACCGACTCGGGGTTTTTTTCCTCCACAAAATGGCAGCCGTGCAGTCGGCAGCCTGGCAGTCCAGTGTGTTGTGTGTGTGTGTGTGCGGGGGACGGGGAGCTCCGGTCCCTCTCACCCCCCGGCTGCACACCGGCAGCTCTCCGTTGTTTTGGATGCACATCCTGTCTGGTTCTGGTCACTGGTGAGCACACATGTGGGCTTGAAAAAGCAAAAGGAGTTGCCATAGAAACGCTCAGGTTTCCCCATATAGCCCGAGTGGCACACCTGACGCAGTGAATAGCTGTCTCCCACTACCCCACCACCCTCACCCATTCTCACCCCGGGGCGCCACTGGACCATTATTTTCCAACATATTTTTATCAGATAAACATCCATCTCAGTGGGAGACGCACCAACCCGATTTATTTTTGAAAGGTAGCCTACATTTGTATTTGATCCCTCATACATTTAAAATTATAATTCTGTTTTAGACTTAATTTAGTCCCGTATTTAACATAAACATATCCAACGTATCGATTTTAGCAGAATGCGTCCAAATTAAGATGTGTTTTCTTATCGTGGCTCTCTCCCTTTCGCTTGGAAACATTTGATCAAAGCTAGTGCACATGTTCCTCTGATGTCGCCATGTTGATTTAAGATGAAGCGCAGGAGAGTATGGAGGCTCCATCGATCTCTCCTCGGAGGAGATTGATTTATGATTATTCCCTGCGCTTCGGTCAGGTGACTGTGCTGCTGCTGCCTATCAATCTGCCACCGAGCTCCTTCCCCTTTGCTTATTATGGGATTAGCATAAAAGATGATGTTGCTTTAACGCAGTCAAACAAACAGCAGCCCTTCTTCCAAATGGCACAGACCCTCTGATGTCTCTCCGCCATGCATGCTCTGTTTTGACTTGTTTCTCTTTCCTCTTGCAGGATTGTTGTTGCCTTCCCTCATCATGCATCGAACCACCAGGATAAAGATTACTGAGCTCAACCCTCACCTCATGTGCGTGCTGTGTGGAGGATACTTCATAGACGCCACCACCATCATTGAATGTCTCCACTCATGTGAGCCAAAAGAATTGTGCTGCTTTTTTGTTTTCTAATGTTTTGCAAGCTGATTGTGGGAATATGTTGCAGCAATGTACAAGAGTCTTTCTTGCATGTTTCTCTTCACAGACACTGGATTTAAAACAATGCTTTATGCCTCCCTCAGGATATCATTTCTGATGATATCTGATCTTGACAGTTTCTGTTCCCTTTTTCATGGTTTGCAGTTTGCAAGATGTGCATTGTACGCTACCTGGAAGCCAGCAAATACTGTCCCATCTGTGATGTTCAAGTGCATAAAACCAAGCCTCTGCTCAACATAAGGTGAGCATTTCCTGTTCCATTTTTCTTGTCCGTTTTTGATATATATTTTTAGAATCTTTGTGTAAGTGTGGCCAATCATGGTTGAATTTGATCACAATTTAAAACATATATTTCTTCTCATATAAAAACCTTTTCCCTGTATAGTAAATGTTCGGCAGCTTTGATATTGACAACAGTCTTTGTCTCCGCTCTGGTTTTCCCCTTTGTTTCCAGAATGAACAGCTGAGTCAGTGATTGGTTACAAATGAAAGTCTGTTGTATATCTCTGGTTGCAGTCTGTCAAGAAACAAGTTTCTATGAATGTAAAGCATTTTCAAACAAGAGAAAGCACTTTGCAGTGATCTGTCTTTTTCTACAGACGCTTAATCAAATTGAAAGAATGTAACTATCTGTATAGTTTTGGTTTCTAGATTGAAATACACATTGAGCATTGTAGTGTCTGATGATTTGACTGATTTTTCTTTACTCTCTTCAGGTCTGACAAAACTCTACAGGACATCGTTTACAAGCTGGTGCCCGGCCTCTTCAAAAGTAAGACAATAAAGTCTGATTCTAACATCTGTTCCTTCTGACTCACATCGTTCAGCTCTCTTCTGATTAACTGTTTCATTCTCACTCAGCACACAGTGTTTAAGTTATCTGCACTTCTGCTAAATAAAAAGGGAAAGAATATTACATTCTAATCAATTAACCCCCCAAAAAGTTACACATATTTATACTGAAATACAATGTTCAATTATATATATTTATAATCTGAAATGAATTGTTTGCTGCTTTGTTTCATGTTATTCTGTATGAGCTGTTTGATCAAACATTAAAATAGGTCAGACAAAACTCAAGTTGGTTTTCTTTCATGTCTTTCACTCATTTAAGGAAAATATTATGATATAAGGGGAATGTATGGCGGGTTTTCGCTGCATTGATCCAACCCATAAAATATGGTTACCAAAATGTATCCCGTTGTGTATTAAGGACAATATTTATATTTGTGTAGTATTTGCTCAGACTTGTAATTGCTTGTCTTTTTGAATGTCCTCAGATGAAATGAAGAGGAGAAGAGACTTTTACTCGGAGCATCCCGTAGACGGTGAGTTAGAAAACATGCTATTACATTTATTTAGTTTCCATGTAGTCACCGCACGGAAGAGGGAAGAAACACATTTCTTAAAGCATGGTTTCACCTGGTTTCGGAAATCCACAAAATATCTTCAATTTGAGGGGAAAATCCAATCCTTGGAGTTTTTGAATATAGAAAAAAGTGGACACGGCAAAAATACAACTCAAAGTTCTTTTGATTTTTCTTCTGTGAGTTTCTGTGAAGCCTGCTTGTTCTTATTTTAAAACTCTCAGTGTTTAACTGTAATAACCCGCATCTATTTCTCAAAATATGCCATGTTGGTCCTTGAATATGAGTAAAAGTCCTATCATTTGATGTTTAAAAAGGTGGGAAAACCCCTGAAGTTTTGTATTTAATAAAAGTCACTTTCTAGGTTTTCTTCGGTCTTAGTGTTATTTGTGATTTATCTTTGTTTATTTCTGTGTGTGTTGTTCTGCAGTGTCTAATGGATCTAATGAGGATCGCGGGGAGGTGGCAGACGACGATAAGAGAATAATCACAGATGATGAGATTATCAGCCTCTCCATTGAGTTCTTCAATCACAGCAGGTTTGTCTTTTCTTCCAATAATGATTAAGGCGACATTTTAATTTAGCTGTTCTTGACAAAGGAACAAACTTAAATATTGAATTCAGTGGCAGACAATGTTGTGACGATATGTATGTGCTTCCTTTACATGTTTGATCTTGTGGGGTTTTGTCTCAGATAATATATTTCATTTACAGAATAGATCTAACCCGAGTGTTTCGGCACCATCGATTACCGTACTTCATCAGAAATATGAAGATCTTTTTTTTATCCTCCAAACTTAATTTTTTTTCTTACTATTATCTACCTCCAATCTCCAGCGCAGAACCAAACCAAATAGAGCTGCAATGATCAGCCAGCTAATGAGATAGTAGATCAACAGAAAAATGATCGGAACTATTTTGATCATTGATTAATCACTCAAGCATTTTCTTCATGCTCGAAAGGAGGATATTTTTTCCTGAGTTTCTTTGTTTTATTTCATATTTAACTGAATATCTTTGAGATCATCTTGGACTCTAAGAAAGTGTGAGGGAAATATGTGTTTATTTTCAGACTAGTTGATTAATGGATAACTGTTGCAGTTGCATCCCTGTGAGTCAAACAAGTCGCATCCTGCTAAGTCTTCACACATTTTCTGCAGGATAAGAAATTGGCTTTTTCCAATAATCATTTTTGGATGTCACTTACAAAGGCTCTTTTTTGGAAAAAGCAACTGATACAAGTTAAATGGGTTTTATTGAATTATTCTTTTTTTATTATTATTTCCTTTAATTTTACGTGTTTTTTTTAAACATTATTTAAAGATTGCTGATATAAGAAAAAAACAACAATTACTATATATGTCAAATATAGTTTTAAGGAAATAAATCTATAAAGTGCACTTTTTAATCCAACTGTAGATCTTTTCTTGTTTACAAAAAAATCTATATAATTTTTACATTTTAATATGTGGTGTTATTCATTGCTTACAATCAATTAGTTTTATTGCATGCAGGGCTTGATGTTGGCACATGAATAACATAACATCACAGACCTTTTAAAGTCCTAATATTTTCTCTTTTTTTATTCCTTGCAGACTGGGAGGAGCAGTGGAGGACAAACCGAGTAAAGATCAGAATATGGTAAGTTACTTCTCTTCTCCCCCAACATTATTTCTTGTGAGCAAAATGAAAATCTAAGACTTTTTAAGAAAAGCAACTCATGCCTCCACTCTGTTGTGAACTCTGACATATTATACACATATTGTTTCCTCTTGAGAAAGGGCTTCAATGTTTCTGTGAAGCACATATGTTTCCTGCTATTAAGGCTCATTACACTTGTGTACAAATATGTATTCCTTTGTGTCTAACATTATTCTGCAGATTGCTAACAAGAGGTACCTGCAGTGTCCGGCAGCCATGACAGTGATGCACCTGAGGAAGTTCCTGCGCAGCAAGATGGACATCCCGAACGCCTACCAGGTCACCATTTAAACACTTTTATTTATTGTGACCAATGCACTATAATTCAAACTTTAATTTAAATCTGTCGATCCGAGGGGTTTGCAATATTATAATTCCTATTTTAAAATGTTACCTATATGCACTGTTTTTAATTTTTTTAATGTTTTCTCTAGGTTGAAGTCATGTATGAAGACGAACCTCTGAAAGATTACTACACGTTAATGGATATAGCATATATCTACACTTGGAGACGGGTAAGAGATATTTTTGGGACGAAGAATACTTGATTTTTGTTGGTTTATTTACATTTATGTTGTCTAACTAACAACAAATAAATCCTGTTATGTGTGATATGTTAATTAGTAATTTTAAGTGATCCACGTTGTCAAATAAATATTAAATATGATCATGTTTTATCAGCTGGAGCATGCATTGAAACACCTTGTTATTTGTTGTGAAAAAAATGATGTACATTGTTGTTCTTAAAAATAGTCTATATAGATTATATTTTGAGTAATAAATACATTTAAGATCAGACCTTTAGATTGTTTGTATAGTAAAAGACTGCACAGAGGTCAAAGTGGTCTGTTTGTAAAGGGGTTCCACCCGTTTTGTTTTACCATGGGCAAGACACTATGTGGTCAATTTAAAACATATTTTCAATTGTCTTTAAATCTAAAAATACAGACTGTGTGATTGCTGATTGATGAGGGAGGGTATAACATTATATATATCCCAACATTTTTATTTGGGTTGTAGACCTAGATGTAGGTTATTCTCCGACATTTGGAACAAAACAAATGACCTGAAATTGCATTTAAATAATTGTTACTAAGACAAGAGAAAGGTGCTTCATCTGTCTTTGAGAATATACTTGTGGACGTTTTTATTTAGTTGGTTGATTATTATTTTTTTGGAATAAGGCTTAGTGTTTGACTTGGTCATGGATGTTTTGGGACACCGAAATGAACACATCTACATCATTGGAATATACTTTGAATTAGGTTGTTTGGAAGATGCACATTAGGAGTTCATTTGTGTTATTACGGTGAGGCACTCCATCGCATGCTTTTGCACTCAATCCAGCGATTTTTGGCTATTTTGCTGCAACAAAAAGTATTCTTTCAGACTTGTGAAAGGAAAACATCCAAAATACACATTTAGTATTTTATTTTTCGTTATCTTTTAACGGGTGTGGATTTATCCTTAAATGCATGTAAAGTTAGCATTCGATAATGTTTTGCATTTGCATGAATTTGGAAACGTAAAAGAAATGACCAGTCAGTTATCAACTGAGGAAGTTTCATGGTATCTATTAACCCAGTTCACTTTTGTTCACACTAAAGACTTGTAAGGCTCAATAAAAAGGGCTATTTATATCATGCATTTGGTTTTCATTAAACATATATTTGTCTTAAAGTAAATTATCAACAGGGGAGGTTTTTTTACGTATTTATCTAAATCTCTCTTAAGGCTGTTTCAAAAAAAAAAAAATTGTAGGTCATTCCTTTTATGCGTTTACATATTGAATTACCTCCTTCCTTCACCACAGAATGGCCCCTTGCCGCTGAAGTACAGAGTCCGACCCAACTGCAAGAAGATGAAGGTGAGCCACGCGCAGCAGGAGGGCCAGAACAGCGCGATCAGATCCGGTCCAGAGAGCGACTCTGCCAGCGACAAGGCCGGGAGTCCCTCCGGAGCTCCGTCCACCTCCTCCTCGCTGCCGAGCCCCGGAACACCGGCGCAGTCCCCGCTCCCGCAGCTCCCGGTTAACGGGACCCCGGCGGCGGCCCCTCCTCCCACCCCCAGCCGGTCCTTCACGCAGTTCGGCGGAGGCGGCAGCAACAAGCCCCGGAACGTGACCCTGAACGGATCCGCCGCCACCTCCTCCGGGTGACGCGCGTTGTGAAGACCTTTCCCTCTCCATTTGTTGTTCTAAATATTATGGCATCATGTAAACGTAGTGGAATCAGAGACATTTCAGAATAAAAGGAAAGAGGAAGACGGTGGGAATGTTTTTAAAAAGCAGGTTTTGATGTTGGAAAAAAAGGAGGTTGGAGAGAAGCATTTATCCCATTTTAAAGCTACATCTTTATTTTACAGAATCGACTGAAGATGGACTTTTATATTTTCTTTTACGTTGTTTTCAGTGTCAATCATGATTATGTCATGTGTGTCGGGATATTTTGAAGCTGTCAGTTTGAACATGCATGATAACATTTCCTTTCTCGTATGAAGGGGAATCTGCGTGTTTGCCCCTCAAAGGTTTTTCGGAAGTGTGGCGTCGATCTTGGAGTTTGTTCGGGCTGTTGGAGGAAACACAACTTTAAATTGCCTTTTAATAAAAAACAGTTTCTTGTAACTGCAGTGGATCGGATTGTTTTATCATGTTATAAGCAATGTTAGAGAATCCACATGTAAATAGAAACAAAAATGCATATTTAATCAGCGATAATGTTATTCTCTTATTCCCCCTTTGTTCTGCGAATGACTTGGGCTCAGCTCCATTTCATTCATCGACAGATGTGTTGATGTCCCCTGTGTTTTCCGTATTTGTATCGCTCGATTGTATGGACAACTTATTGTATTGTTACTGTTGCACAGTATAAAACATCTAAATAAAACATTTTACACTTAAGAGGTTAGTGGTATTTATCTCTTTTCATTTTGGTGGAGGATCATCTGTGTGGTGTTTAGCATTAACAAATAAAGGCGTGATTGGAGTGTGCAGGCTGCATAGCGCCAGATGTCTGTGTGAATGAGATAACTCGGTTAAAGAGGCTGACCCGGGATACAATCTGAATACATGTAATGAAGACTGAAGCCTTTTTGATTTTTGTTTTGTATGGATGATTTATCACATGAGTAATTGCATTTACTGCACTGAAATGCAGGTTCAATGGAAGATAACCAACTGTTTTATTTTAAAAGGCTACCATTTTTTTTAAAATTCCGAATTGAAACCTCAGCGATTTTTTTAAATTGTGAAATATCGCTGCTATCCCTTTTCTTTTCTTTTTTATACATTTCAAGCAATATTAGCTTGTATACGCTAAAAGTATGATGTACTTTTTTACATTCATTAATTGATATGACATTTTCAAAATTAAAAACGAGTAAACACAGTTGCATTTTTTTTAACCGAAGAAGACTTAGCTTTCCAATAAAACCGAAATAATAAAGTATATTAAATATTAAAGTAGAACAAGCCGTGCCGCAGAGCTTCAAAATACTTATGCACACATAATAATTCAGATAGGCCCTACGTGTTAAATGTCTGCAGTGTTTTGAAAAACGAAAACATATATATCCCGTTTGCGCACCAACGGTGTGATATTTTATGTTTAAGTTATAATTTATCCCTGGCTAAAAAACACAATGACCTCAAACGGAATCTTTGCATTTCATCTAATGCAAAAAAAATAATACAGCCTATAAGTAACAACTGAACCTGTAGCCTATAGGTCATAAGCATAAAATGTTAATCCTATACAATTAAATAATTGTCATTCTTTCAGTTAGCCATTCAGTGGTTTATTCTGCTTTGTTTGCTGTGACAATATAAAAAAAGCTTACCAAATAATATGTACTCCGATATCAAGACGAATCACATTTTGTCATAGCCTATAATATTGATATGGTTTATTTTTGCAGACCGAGGTGTACACATATTGACATAACGTAGCCTAGTATGTCTTTGAAGTAGACTGTGAATAACAGTAAAATAAATATGGACGATGGCCAACAGACCAGATAATGGATGCGATAACGCAACCAGCATTTTTTTTTAACTTAAACAAAGTTTACGTTTGGAGATTAACCCTATTTAAAAAAGCCTTCATGTTGCAAAATCGATGGCAAACGTTATAGGTTCACGCAGTCTATGGTATGAGAGAAAGTGATAACAGCCAATGAGAATCGTGCAGGCTATGCATCCACGTTTACGTGTCAACCACAAATGTTGTACTTTTTGAGTGAGTTCAAATCAGAGAAAAATCCCTTCTTTGTGTTTATTTCTCCCATATTTGTAGGTCTACTAAGGCTACTTCTGAATCGCTTGACAATTAAATTCGGCTAAAATCTAAAATTAGCTAACATGTTTCACTGTAGGCAACCAGAAGCTCGTGTTTCCCTTTGTAAAAGTGGTGAAAGTAATGTTGTAGTCAGCGGCAGCGCCATATAGATAGAATCTTAATCTTAAACTCAGTCTATATGGCGCTGGTCAGCGGTAACAACAGAAACACACTGGACGTTTTTCAGAGGGTGAGTCATCTTGTCAATAGGCGATCTTTGGCACGGAACATTCTACTTCCTGTCTGTTGTCACGGTAACACCTAACAACACTACCTAAACTAAACCTGGAGACCATCAGGGGAAACGCTGCGTTGATCACTGTGTTCATTAAATCCGTTTTCTGTGTAAATAACCTGCACTTTCTTACTAAAATACACATTTCCCATCAGGGTAACAATGAGTCAACGACAGATCATTCAAGGTAAGATGCACGAGCAGGTTTTTAATAAGAAAAAATAAGGAAAATGCAGCTTCGAGTCAAACTGTTTGCTTGTGTCTGTTTGCAGTTTTTGAGCAGTATCAGAAGTCAAGGATGCAGTTTGTGCAAACGGTCGCTGATCTGGCAGCCAGACCACAGAACATAGAAATGCTTCAAAATGCTGGTAAGAGAAACAAGATAATAACCACTAAGACATGTCAGATGTGGCTGCTGTTCCCAGGGTGTAATCCTCTCCTCTCCGGCAGGGGTGATGACCCTGCTGCGGCCCCTGATGCTGGACAGTGTGCCCGGGATCCAGCAGACCGCCGCGCTGGCTCTGGGCCGGCTGGCCGACCACAGCGACTCGCTGTCGGAGGCCGTGGTCCGGGAGGACATCCTGCCGCAGCTGGTCCTCTCTCTGGCCTCGCAAAACGTAAGTCTCTCATCTTTAAGGCTCACGTGAGGGCCTCTTCAATGCAGACGGTTCAACCATTTTTTCGACATCCGATATTATGCTTTTCCCCCACTTTCTTAGACATACGATATCATGATTTATTTTGACATACTATACTATGCCTTATTACGACATTATACGTCGTTTTTTAAAAACCTTTTTCAACATAGTATACTATGACCTTTTTGTCATTTTTTTCAACATGCTATATTTATATAAGTAGTGACCGTTATCTAAAAAAATATGTTTTTTATATAAGTGACCCTTATCTAAAAAGTAAGTTCCTGTCATAGGGGGGGGGGGGGGGGGGGGGGGGGGACCCTTAACACAAATAAAAAATAGTTATATAAGAAGTAAGTAAATTAAAAAAATAGTTAAATAAGGGAGGACCCTTATCTAAAAAATACCATGTATATTTTTTGCATTTTTTCATAAACTATGATTTTTCGATCATTTTTAACGACAACAATATATATACTACACCTGGTTTCTACACACTATAACGTGCCTTATTTCGACACAAAATACGAAGGTTTTTTTGTCATTTTAAAGTTTTCCCGACTATGGCTTTTTTGTCATTTTTTTTCGACATAGCATATCATGTCCTATTTTGACACAATATGCTATGTCGTTTCCTTCACTTTTTCAACATAGCATATTATGTCAAAATAAGACACAATATCCATCGTATGTCGAAAAAAGTGGGAAAAAACTAGTATACTATGTCGAAGTAAAAAAAAACAGCATGGTATGTCGAAGAAATGCAAAAACTGACAGAAAACAAGATATAATGGTGTGCATAAAAAACGACAGTATAAATGATGTCAGTATAAACAACATCATTCAGTATCTTGACAATATGCAAAAATCATTATATAAACACAGTATGTTGAAAAAAATAGTTTTTGTATATTAAAAAATATCAGAAAAAAACACAAAAAAAAGTCATGTTGAAGAAAACAAATCCATGGAATGGCTTCTTTTATAAATTGCTATAATGAATTGTAAGTATAGTATGTCATACAATATTGTCATAAAATTGCAAAGGACAATGTTATAAATGTACCAAATCATGGGACAATATAACTGACTTGTATTTCAATCGTAAGTAACGTCTTAAGACAGACCATGAATGTAAGAGTATCTTTGTGTGTTTGTATGCAGAGGTTCTATAAGAAAGCAGCAGCCTTCGTTCTGCGAGCCGTTGCCAAACACACCCCCGAGCTGGCCCAGGCGGTGCTGGCCTGCGGGGGGGTCGATGCTCTGGTGCTCTGCCTGGAGGAGTTCGACCCCGGTGTGAAGGAAGCGGCTGCCTGGGCTCTCAACTACATCGCCCGGCACGACGCACGTAAAAACACATTCTTAGATTTCTATTGGTCTACCTTGGTTCGTGATTGGCTAATGGTTACACAAGCCAAGTCATTATGACATCACAAAGTGGCCAAAATCTGATCAGCTCATTTTCAGACAGGTTTTTATATAAATGGATCAGGACAAAAAGTGAGCGAATCTTTTTTCCTGAAACTTTCAGTCTCTTTCCACAGAGGGGACACATGTTGATGTAGAAGAGACATGAAGAAGAGGGGACACATGTTGATGTAGAAGAGACATGAAGAAGAGGGGACACATGTTGATGTAGAAGAGACATGAAGAAGAGGGGACACATGTTGATGTAGAAGAGACATGAAGAAGAGGGGACACATGTTGATGTAGAAGAGACATGGAGAAGAGGGGGCACATGTTGATGTAGAAGAGACATGAAGAAGAGGGGACACATGTTGATGTAGAAGAGACATGAAGAAGAGGGGACACATGTTGATGTAGAAGAGACATGGAGAAGAGGGGGCACATGTTGATGTAGAAGAGACATGAAGAAGAGGGGACACATGTTGATGTAGAAGAGACATGAAGAAGAGGGGACACATGTTGATGTAGAAGAGACATGGAGAAGAGGGGACACATGTTGATGTAGAAGAGACATGAAGAAGAGGGGACACATGTTGATGTAGAAGAGACATGGAGAAGAGGGGACACATGTTGATGTAGAAGAGACATGGAGAAGAGGGGACACATGTTGATGTAGAAGAGACATGAAGAAGAGGGGACACATGCTGATGTAGAAGAGACATGATGAAGAGGGGACACATGTTGATGTAGAAGAGACATGGAGAAGAGGGGACACATGCTGATGTAGAAGAGACATGATGAAGAGGGGACACATGTTGATGTAGAAGAGACATGAAGAAGAGGGGACACATGTTGATGAAGAAGAGACATGAAGAAGAGGGGACACATGTTGATGTAGAAGAGACATGAAGAAGAGGGGACACATGTTGATGTAGAAGAGACATGAAGAAGAGGGGACACATGTTGATGTAGAAGAGACATGAAAAGGTGGATATTGCATAAGAAGTGTTTGCTCTCTGCTTCCCACCCCTTCCCTCTTGGTGCAGAGTTGTCTCAGTCGGTGGTGGATGCCGGCGCCGTGCCCCTCCTGGTGCTTTGTCTTCTGGAGCCGGAGATGGCCCTCAAACGCATCGCGGCCTCTACCCTCAGTGACATCTCCAAACACTCCCCGGAGCTGGCCCAGACCGTGGTCGACAACGGAGCCATCGCACACCTGGCCCAGATGATCCTCAGCCCTGACGCCAAGCTCAAGGTAGGCCAGCTCAAAGAACACGTTTGACCTATTATATGAGGCTCTATATGTTAGTGTTCTACCTTCAGTTACCCATTTAACAAACATCTTGCCCTGCCAGACTGTCATGAGACACGTTGTGAATGAAATGAAGGGATTCAAAAGGTTTTATAGAAAGACTATCATGAATAAGAAACATTTCTCCACCAGACTTCATTTAAATAAAAAATATTCTTCAGTTTTTTTTAACTTGAAATACAAAAACAATTGTAGTATCATCTAAAAACCTGCTAGAAAAGAATCAAACATGTTAGTGCATGTTACAGATCTTGCAAGCAACACGATCATACTAAGTTCCGCCTTTTGTCTTGGAAAAATGATCAAAAATGTACACACCATTTATTTAGTATTAAGCAGAAGCACCAGATATTGAATAGAGAGCAGTCATTTCCACATGTCGCTGACTTGTTGTGCAAAACGGTATAAACTATAAACGAGCTCTAGAATGAATGCAGCCCTATTTCTTGTCCCTGTAGAGGCAGGTGTTCTCCGCCCTCAGTCAGATCAGTAAGCACTCGGTCAGCCTGGCGGAGATGGTGATTGAGGCGGAGGTGTTCCCTGCAGCCATCGCCTGCCTCAAAGACCCTGATGAGTACGTGAGGAAGAACGTCACCACTCTGATGAGGGAGGTGGTGAAACACACACCAGAGGTACTGCAGCACACACTCGTTCACTGAAGGCACAAACATGCAGGAGCCAGAGTAATGTGCCGAGTGTGTTTGCAGCTGTCCCAGGTGATCGTGAACTGTGGAGGCATGGCAGCTGTGATCGACTTCCTGGGCGAGTCCAGTGGAAACCTGCGGCTGCCGGGGATCATGATGCTGGGATATGTGGCGGCTCACAGCGAGAACCTGGCCATGGCTGTCATCCTCTCCAAGGTGTTAATCTCTCGTGTGATCCCTCTCCATGAGCCATGTGACAGCAGCAGTACTACCAGCAGGTCCAGTATGTAGGTCACACTCACCGAGTCCTGTCTGTCCTCCTGTCCTGCAGGGGGTGCCACAGCTGGCCCTGTGTATGTCCGAGGAGCACGAGCACCACATCAAGGCGGCCATAGCCTGGTCCATCGGACAGATTGGACACCACAGCCCTGAGCACGCCAAGGCGGTGGCCACCTCCAACCTCCTGAGCAAACTGCTGGAGCTGTACATGGAGGCCAGCAGCTCCGAGGACCTGCAGGCCAAAGTAAGAGCAGCAGAGAGACGCTTCAATGACGAGGCTCTCAGCAGGGGTCACAGGGGTCACACCTGAAATCAGAGTGAACTGTTGAATATCTCAAAAACATATATCTATGTTGCAATAGAGAGTAAGAATCTAAAATAATGTTTTTAAGTTTCGTGCAGTTGCTTCATTTTAGAATAAAATAAAATGACTTGTTTGTATAAACATGTCGAAGACAACCAAACACCGCAATATGCACAAAGCCGAAATGGTTGCAGCTGACAATAAGTAATGCATTTCAGAACGTATTTGTTTGCAATATAAAAACAAAGCAGCTGAAACGCACAACAGCAAATGATGCTGATGAAATGTAACTAGAGACATCTGGAATAAATCCCACCTCAATAGGGATTATAGGCAGGAAGCAAAGTCATCACATCTAAAATACAAAACAAGCAAACATGAAGTAAGCAACACAAGATATTTTCCAAATGTTTGGTGCAATGAGCTCTTAGGGCCACCGTACAACAACTATCACTTATGTATTAGAAAGAAGAAGAAAATAAAACAACATAGACTAGCTCCATGGCATAATGCCGAAACCCGCAAAATAAAGCAAAAGTCGAGACAACTTGAAAGGATATGGCGTTCTACTAAACTTGAAGAATCTCGTTTAATTTGGCATATTACTCTCAATGAATATAAGAAAGCACTGCGTAAAGCGAGAGCAGCCTACTACTCTTCATTAATAGATGAGAATAAGAATAATGCAAGATTTCTTTTCAGCACTGTAGCCAGGCTGACAGAAAGCCACAGCTCGATTGAGCCTTCTATTCCCATAGCACTCAGTAGTAATGATTTGATGTGCTTTTTTAACGATAAAATTGTTACTCTTAGAAACAAAATGAATGACCTCTTGCCTTTGACCAGTATAGTGTTATCAACAGCTCCCGGAAACGTAAGTTCTAATATTACACTAGATAGTAAACTAGAATGCTTTTCAGCCATAAACCTTGAACAATTAAATTCAATGATTCTCTCTTCTAAACCATCAACGTGTATGTTAGACCCAATTCCAACTAAGCTGTTGAAGGAAGTTTTTCCATTAATTAGCACTTATTTATTAAATATTATGAATATGTCTTTATTATCAGGCTATGTTCCACAATCATTCAAAGTAGCAGTGATAAAACCGCTTCTTAAAAAGCACAACCTCGATCCAGAGGTTTTAGCCAACTATAGACCTATTTCCAATCTTCCGTTCCTCTCAAAAATTCTTGAGAAAGCGGTCGCAAAACAGTTGTGTGATTACTTAAAAAACAATGATTTATTTGAAGATTTTCAGTCTGGCTTTAGAACACATCATAGCACAGAGACAGCTCTGGTTAAAGTCACAAATGACATTCTAATAGCCTCTGACAAGGGACGTGTCTCTATTCTTGTTTTGCTCGATCTCAGTGCTGCATTTGATACTATCGACCATGATATCTTATTGCAAAGACTAGAGCACTTAGTTGGCATACAGGGAACTGCTTTAGACTGGTTTAGGTCCTATCTATCTGAACGCTCTCAGTTTGTACGTGTCAATGATGAATCTTCCACGCAAACCAAAGTTAGCCATGGAGTGCCACAGGGCTCAGTGCTCGGACCTATTTTGTTCACATTATATATGCTTCCGTTAGGCAATATTATAAGGAATCATTCTGTAAACTTTCATTGTTATGCGGATGATACTCAACTATATTTATCAATCAAGCCTGATGAAATTAATCATCTAAATAAAATTCAAGACTGCCTTAAGGACTTAAAAACGTGGATGACCTTAAACTTTTTGATGTTAAACACGACCAAATCTGAAGTTATTGTACTTGGCCCGAAGAATCTACGAAACAAATTATCTAAGGATATACTAACTATGGATGACATTAATTTGGCCTCCAGTGAGACTGTAAGGAATCTTGGTGTTATATTTGATCAGGATTTATCCTTTAACGCCCACATAAAATCAATTTCAAGGACCGCCTACTTCCATCTACGTAACATTGCAAAAATCAGGCATATCTTGCCTCAAAACGATGCAGAGAAACTAGTCCATGCATTTGTTACTTCAAGGCTGGATTATTGTAACTCTTTATTATCAGGGTGTACCAAGAAGTCAGTCAAGTCGCTTCAGCTGATTCAAAATGCTGCGGCTCGTGTACTAACCAGAGTTAGGAAAAGGGACCACATTACTCCTGTTCTGGCTGCCTTACACTGGCTCCCTATAGAACACAGGATAGAATTTAAAATTCTTCTTCTCGCCTACAAAGCCCTTAATGGGCTCATTATACCCTACTGTCCTACTAGGGCATTGCGTTCCAAGAATGCAGGGTTGTTGGTTGTTCCTAGAGTCTCTAAAAGTACAATGGGAGCCAGAGCCTTTTCTTATCAAGCTCCACATTTGTGGAATCAGCTTCCAGTTTGTGTTCGGGCGGCAGACAGCCTATCCGTTTTTAAGAGTGCGCTTAAGACCTTCCTTTTTGATAAAGCTTATAGTTAGGGCTGATTAGATCCAGCCCCTAGTTTTGCTGATATAGGCTTAGTTTGTCGGGGGACATCTTACTTCTTCCTTCTCTCTGTCTATACCTGTGTACTCTCATGTTCCGATTAACCCAGCTTCCCCAAATGTCTTTCTTTTTGGTGTCTATATACGCCGGGATCCGGAGTCATGGATGATCCTGCGCTCCTCTGTCCTGGATCGCGAGCCCTGGATCTTGAGTCGTGGCTGTGGTCCTGGATCATAGGTCCTGGATGGATATCCTCGTGGATTCATCTTCCTATTATACACACATGCATTTCCAAACATTTGGACTACCTATGTTGCAAATGTATTATCTTTTCAATTTACACACGGCATCTATTGCACGTCTGTCCGTCCTGGGAGAGGGATCCCTCCTCTGTTGCTCTCCCTGAGGTTTCTCCCATTTTCCCCTTTAAACTGTGGGTTTTCTCCGGAAGTTTTTCCTTGTACGATGTGAGGGTCTAAGGACAGAGGGTGTCGTATTGTCATACTGATATTTTGTACAAACTGTAAAGTCCACTGAGACAAATGTAACATTTGTGATATTGGGCTATATAAATAAACATTGATTGATTGATTGATGTATTAAGTATATTGACTTGCTCTCAATAACAGTGAGGCAACGACTGCACATTTTTAAAGCCAAACATGGAGATATTTTGATCTCACTGGACTGCAGGTATCACTTGGTAAAAAGCTGAAACAACAGTTTGTATGAATGTATACAGTATAATGTAATTCCTCGTGTTTCAGAGTAAGAAGGCCCTGAAGAGCATTCTGCAGAAGTGCACCTACCTGCCGGGTCTGGAGCCGCTCCTCTACGATGTTCCCAGCAACATCCTCAAACACGTGGTCTGCCAGTTCAGCAAGGTGAGAGTCCACCACAACTAGGGATGGGCACCGAGCCCCGGGGATGAATTATTAAAGACCGTGGTACCGTTAAGCTCCGACGTTATCGGTCTTTTTATCGGTACTGGAGACGATAGTAAATGTAGATGTAAAAAACATGTCATATGTATTATTGCTACACAAACATTATATTGCAGTTTTAGTTTCGCAAACTCCGTTTCTAATACGCAAAAAGCGTCTGTTTAGTATTTTCGATCTTTCCAATCCAGACGAGAGATCTCTCTCCCCATCTGTGTGCGAGGGGGCGGGGCAACACACACACACACACACACACACACACACACACACACACACACACACACACACACACACACACACACACACACACACACACACACACACACACACACACACACACACACACACACAGAGCGGAGAGAACTAAGCGCTCCAAGATGTGGTTAAACTTTACCCGTCTCGATGTGGACAATGCTCGTTGGTCGTTACCAAAAGGGCAGATTTTTTTTTAATACGATTTGTTAAAACATTGTTGTTTATTTTTATGTGAAATATTATGCATTTAATTTAAATAAAAAGCAATGTTAATTTTGTTCACAATTTGTTTAGTCAGTTTACCTTATTTTTCTCTCCAAAAGAACCGATAAAAGTAGTAGTGGTAGTACCGTTAAAACCTTAACGATACCCATCCCTAAACACAAAAGGAATCTGCTTCAAAAAGGGAAATCTAAATCAGGGGGGGCCAAATACAGAAAAGGCGGGGCCACTCACTAGAGGTATACTGCCTCATAAGCTATAGGTCAGCAAAATCAAATGTAGGTATCATCCTAAATCACAGCTCTCCAGAGGGCAGCTCATTCCTTACAACAGAAGCTCAGATTGATTATCATAAGAGGAAATATGAAGGGTACATTTGAAGCTAGTTATGCTTAAGTTATTGGGCTTAGATTTGTTAGAACATGTTTTCAACTTGAATTGACTGAATTGATTTGAGAAGTGGGCTCATTAACAAATGAATACTACTGAGTAATATCTGTATCTATATGTAAGAAGTACAAGACAAGCACAAGTTTCATTTGAGGGCCGTACTGCATTATAACTTTTTGAATTAGCTGAGGGCCGATTCAAAATGGCCCAGAATCTAAATGAATGTCAGGTTTCTAAAGGCACAGACACACCAGGCCGATTATCGGCGTCGGTGGGCGTCAGGCCGACGATGAGCGTTGACACGCCCTACTCAGATTGGTGTGTCCCGCACCGTCGGGCCTTTTCAGCCGTGCCGACGCCTTTTCGGCAGTCGGCAAAATAAATCACTGACTAGCTTTTCAGTTTAGCGAATCAGTGCATGAGAAGCGAAACGGAAGTGAGGGACCCAAACAAACTATTAAGAAGGCAAATCGGAGATTTCATTTAACTCCAGATCTCGACTCAGGTTCGGGAAAGCCCCGTGAGCTTCTCGCTGTAGAGTGAAGATGGAACGCACACGCTATTTGTTGTTTGTTTATATCACGCAGTCTGTTCTTCTTCTCTTGGTTATCACGCAGTCTGTCTTCCGGTTGTTGCCTCTTTTGAATGACGAATACACACTACCGCCGCCTGCTGGTAAGGAGAGTTATTGCCACTCACGCATGCGCAGTTCGTACGTGCTTCTTGGCCGGCGGCTGAAGTCTTTGCGGTTTGTTCCAGTGCGACATATGGCCAAAATGCAGCAACGTGAGGCGACGCAACAGTCGGGGTCCGTCTGTGTCAGTTCTTTGTTGTCAGATTGGTGAGTCCGGGCCTTTAGAGTTGTTGCTTTGGATGTGATACCTGAGTGTCCTCTCCTCTCAGGTGCTCCCTCATGACAGCAAGGCTCGCCGGCTGTTTGTGACCAGCGGAGGTCTGAAGAAGCTCCAGGAGATCGAGGCGGAGCCCGGCTCCCCTCTGCAGGATCACATCAACAACATCAACAGCTGCTTCCCCGAGGAGATCGTCAGGTGTGTGTCTCTCCCTAGCACGCGCACGCGCACGCACGCACGCACGCACGCACGCACGCACGCACGCACACACACACACACACACACTTTGTTAACATCAAACGCCTGTGTGTGTAAACAGTAATCTAAATGTGTGTGTGTTTCAGGTACTACTCCCCTGGGTACTCAGAGGTGTTGCTGGAGCGGTTAGAGAGATTCCAGCCGGCCTGACATCAGTCACACAAGTTCAAATGTTACCATGAAAATGTGCCTTTACAGTAAATTCAACATTTTAAAGAGCAGTTTTACATCTTAGTTATTTTGTGTGTTTTTTTTTGTAAAGCTCCTTTAAGCAGCTTGTTTCAGATTAGATAGTCCTTTTAAATGTCTTTGCCACAGCAACATGACAACAAGGCATTGCACATGAAGAAAAGAGAAAATAAACATACAGTTGGAAAATATAAACAATACATATCAATATTGAATTACATATATCTTAACAGTCCGACCGAATCATGACCGAAAGAACGAGATCGCGGATACAAGCGGCCGAGATGGGTTTTCTCCGCAGGGTGGCTGGTGTCTCCCTTAGGGATAAGGTGAGAAGTTCGGTCATCCGGGAGGGACTCGGAGTTGAGCCGCTCCTCCTTCGCGTCGAAAGGAGCCAGTTGAGGTGGTTCGGGCACCTAGTTAGGATGCCACCTGGGCGCCTCCCTAGGGAGGTGTTCCAGGCACGTCCAGCTGGGAAGAGACCAAGGGGTAGACCTAGGACCAGGTGGAGGGATTATATCTCTTGGCTGGCCTGGGAGCGCCTTGGGATCCCCCAGTCAGAGCTGGTTGATGTCGCCAGGGAAAGGAACGTTTGGGGCTCTCTGCTGGAACTGCTACCCCCGAGACCCGACCACGGATAAGCGGGAGAAGATGGATGGATGGATCTTAACAGTATCACTATCAAATACTGAATATACAATATAAACAGCCTACACTGAAAACAATGGGAAGTAAGATTTTGCACTCAGAAACATTTAACAACGTATATTTAAAGTAGCATCTACTTACACTTAAGAAGTACTCGAGTAAACTTTACTGTCAAATCTCAGTTTTTTTTGTAACTACATGTGATTTACAGCATAGTAGGGCTGCTTGATTATGGCAAAAATCATAATCCCGATTATTAAAAAACGATTATCCATTTACTTTGAAAACATCAATTTATTGAAAAAAAAGGTGTAGTATGTTTTTAACAGTTGATTACCCTGAACTTTAAGTATAATTCAATTGAAAAACCAATAAAAAAAATAATTTATATATATTTTATATAAAAAAAAAAATAATAAAAAAAAAAAATCGTTTTATTTCGATTATGTTGTTTTCATAATCGTTGCAAGCCAAAATCGTAATTGTGATTAAAATACGATCTGGCCCTTTACAGGGAACTCACGCAGCGTCAGAAAATAAAACCCTCTCTCTTTTCCTCCGTACCCAAATCTCTAAAAACGGGGGTACAACGGAGCTGATCCAGATTTGCGTCCGATATGACGTAATATCTGAAATGTGGACCCACTGCCCAATCAGAAACGTTGCTATCAGAAACAATGCCGACTGTTTTGGACGTGATATGGTCTGTGTTTACATTAGCATCGCTAACACTCAGAGCTAACCTGTACTGGAGAGCATGTGTGTGAAGAAGCAGGAAATAAAAAGGAACTCACCTTGTGGTATAACCGGCAAGAGAGAAAGCCTTTGAGCTCCAAACTGTTTCAGAGAGAATCCTTGATAATCCATGATATGGCGTTTCATCACGGCAGCATTTAGTTTAGACCAGGGGTGCTCAACCAGTCGATCACGATCGACCGCGGGGAGATTCCCAGTCGATCGCGAGATGTGTCTAAAAATAGAACAACAATATTCAGTTTTATCGTTAATGTCCTATAACATAAACTTCCTGTGCCAGAATAATGCACTTGAACGCATCAAAGCTTTGTGATTGGCGTGACCCCATGGGCGTGGCTGGTGGGCAGTGGGCATAATTCGCTGACGTTGTCCGTGGCAACAGGAGTGGCAGTCCGCACACACACAAGACCGCAATAATGGCAAAAAAGCCCAAATTATATAATTGTCACTCCGAGTGGGAGGATGATTATTTTGTTATCTATTCCAATTCAAAGTCCATCTGTCTCATCTGCAATACGAGCGTGGCTTTATCGAAGAAGGGTAATTTAGGAGCGGCATTTCAAAACAGTGCACAAACGCTACGAGACGGAATTCCCTCCTAATTCTGCCCTACGCTCCAAAAGGGGAGGGGCCTGAAAGGACAGCTAAATGCACAGCAGTCCATTTTCACCAGGCCCAACAACAAGAGCAAGGCTGCTACCAGAGCATCTTATCGTGTCAGTCACGTTCTTGCGAAACACATTAAGTCTTTCAAAGACGGCGAAGTTGTGAAAGAAGCTTTCCTGGAGGCTGCCGACGCGCTTTTGGGGACAGTAAAAATAACAGTAGCATTTCAACAGGTTTTTGATATAATAAAAACTCAAGTTAGATACCGTTATTAATCAGCTGTAAGTTTTAGTTTGTTTGAACTTATTCATTATAATTATTGTACAAAATGGTATAATAATGCAAACTTAAATTGATTATAGTCTATTATCAATTCAGGTTAAGAAGCTAGTGTTGCTTGCATCCTATTTTAAAGGCATTTATTTTTATACTCAACTAAAATGCAACAAAAATGGGTTTGATTCTATTAATGTTGTCTTTTTTATTGCACTGTTGCAGCAGATTCCTGTAGCTTCAGATCTGAGTTGTCTTATTAGTAAGCCTCATTTATACTTTTGTAGCAACACTATTTTTATATAATGGCAAAGAAAGGGTTCAGAGTCTTTTCTTTTCTCCTGTGTCATATGTGGCAGCACTGTTCAATGTTTCTTGAAAACATAACCCACTGTAGTGACGTGTGAATAAACTCCAACTCTGTATCAACAACAGTTGTGTAACTTCAGTTAAATACTTGTATGTGTGTAGATTAGAAAAAGGTAAGATAAAGGATCTGCAGTATTTTATTAATCGTACAAAGGTCAGTTTTATACAGGTAGAAGTGTGTATTTACCTGGTAGGCTGTCAGTAATGGCTACGCCTCTCTATTTGGACTGGTAGATCTCGGCAGACTGGTAACTTTAAAAGTAGCTCTCGGTTCAAAAAAGGTTGGGCACCCCTGGTTTAGACAGTATCTGCCGGTAGCATGTCCCGCATGAGCTCAGCCCCCTCCTTTTTTTTAATCTATTTTTTTTAAAGCTTTATACCCAAAATCAGCACTGTTGAAACAGGAAGTGAAATAGAGGGATATGAGGCATAGCTTGAATGTTTGGTATTTTTGAGCAAAACACTTCATAGACATGTTTTTTATATATCTGAGACCTATGCTATTGCCTAAAAATAGCATGATAGGTGACCTTTAAGTCAAAATATTTATACCACACTGTAAGAATACTCTATTACAAGTGAAAGTCTGGTAATGAAAATGTCACTTAAGTAAATAGTATAATTAGCTTGATGCTGTTTCTGTATTACACGTTAAAGTACCCTATAGTACAAAATCCAATATTAACTAATTAAACCGTAAAAGCAAAACATTAATAAGAATTACTAACAATATTTAAAATAACAGAACAGAACCGTATACTTAATACTCTATATAAGATCTAGTGAAGCACAAAGTACAATATTTCCCTTTGATTGGTAGTGGAGTATAAAGTGCAATGAAAAGAAAATGCTCAAGTACCTCAAAAATGGTCTTTGCCAAACGTTTACAACTACTTCACCACTAAGCATTACATGTTGTGTGTGGTGCGTCCATGTTAGCAGGCTACATTAGTTAGCACGCTAACAAGCCAAGCCTGAGCAACTGTCGTTAACGTTCGTTTGATATCCACATTAAACTGACAAGCTAACCGGTCATTATAGTACAGAGTTAACAAAGTACATAAATTACTTACATGATTCAAAATCCACGAGTATTCCCTTTAGACGAGGGTCCTTGCTCTCTTTGACTGGAAGTTAACCGCATAGACTCTAGTTGCTTGTCCCGTGCGCAAACCCCTCTGACGTCATCGGGGGCGTGGCCCACCTGTACTCAAATTGCGCAGGTACATTTTACCAGCTGTTCACAGGCTGTTGGTCAACACAGTACTTTTGACTTGGTGCTATGATTTAAATGTACTCATCTAAATGAAGATACAAAATTACTTGCAAATTCAAGTAACACAAACAAAAAAGGGGAGATTTTGAGTAATAGAAAATGATTAGAAATGTATTGTAGAATTTAAACATAGGACCAGTGTAATACTAACAACATATATCGAAGTAGCCTATACTACATTATACAAATTATATTAAGATATGCTATAGACAACTCATGTTGTCACTATATGTTGTGTAAGAGAGACTAAAGATAAAATAAAGGACATTTCATGGAGTGGCATTAAAAAACGGCACTCAATAGAGAGGTCAAAGGTCAGGTTCAGCAGAGCAGCAACAATTGAGGTGTGTTGCTCAAAGACACTTCAGCAGGCAGCATAATATGTGGATGTAATCTCTTGCTTCAATCACAGAGAGGCATGTCTACCTCATATGTAGTTTTGAAATGCAAACATAAAATGTACGGTGAAGTTGTATTTCTGCACAGCTCACACTGCCCCCTGGCGGCCGTGGAGCCTCACTGCGTCTGAGCTCTGTGTGTGTGTGTGTGTGTGTGTGTGTGTGTGTGTGTGTGTGTGTGTGTGTGTGTGTGTGTGTGTGTGTGTGTGTGTGTGTGTGTGTGTGTGTGTGTGTGTGTGTGTGTGTGTGTGTGTGTGTGTGTGGCAGCTGCAGCGCACATGGCGGGCCGCCCTTTGTTTGTTGTCTGCTTGTTCTCCACTTTGTAGGCCTACTGACGGTGTAAATTAGCCTCCGCCTCTGAGACCTAAACTAGTCCGGCTGCAGCTGCCACCACCCCCTCCTCCTTTCTTCCTTAAACATCTGATATGTAGGCTATTATTAGGCTATATCCTTAAAGTTATCGCTTGTTGGAGCCTATTGTTTAAATGTGCAATGTAAATTCAATTTTCAAAGTGAGTGAATGCATAGGCTATACGGATATTATTGATAAAGAGAAATAAACCCACCCTAACCTACAGGTTCCGCGTTTTTCAGGCATAAATACAAATATATATCGAAAGCACGACCTCCAAAAACTGAATAGACATTTAATCAATTATGCAACATAGCCTGTTGTAAAGCAATGGACAGACTTTTGCTCCAGTTAGAGAATATAATTCTAATTTGCTGAAGCTGAATCAAAAAGTGTCTTTAAAATAATACATTTATGAAATGTTAGCCTTATTTATATTATATAAAAAAGGGACTCCTTGCACTGTGTTGGTAGACATATGGCGATAAAGAACGAACGCAAAATATAAAAAATAATATTTAAAACTGGACTGGTTTTACAGAAACGCTCCTCGTGATGAAACTGCCTCTGATTTATCTGAATAATAAGTCTTGTGCTCAGTTTGTGCCAACAACATGAACGAATGTGTTATGAAGAAGCCTATAGTGTTTATTTAATCATGCTTTTTTTTTATCCTACGCGTTTTTTTTCTGACATTTGGCGTGTCAAAGGCTTCATTGTTTGGCAGGCCTAATAAATAAATACATATATAAATAGGCGGAAGTTCAAGTTTTCCATAAACGGATTACCTCATGTTTTAAGTCAGCTGTGTCTTTGTTTTAAAAACTGCTTTTATATTCACTTCTATAGCGGACATTATGCACGAAGCAGTTTAACGCATACTGTTTGTTTTGTTAAGTGTTTTTTACTATTTCTATTAAAGCGATTGCGACGTTATATAATAAGGAACTAGTAAATATTTCCTTTGTGGCACGTATATTTTTTTCGTTTTTTGATTGATCATTATGAAGATCCAACTAACTTGCTCTCATCTTCCAGGTATTTTGTGCATCCAGTTCTTCAAATGTATTTATATTAGAAATGTTGGCTGGATGTTTTAATATCAGAGGACATTATATATCTGTGGAGGAAACTACTGCACAAGGGTAATACTTATAAAAATAGGGCTTCAAAAAAGACCAAATGAAAGCGACACAAATAAACCATGAGCATTAGTGTAAAATAAACACATTTTAAAATAAGCAACAACTATGGTACTTATCAACATCAGATAATAAAAACATCAGAGGTAAACTTTGAGTTAAGCAGAACAAGTGCTTTAATTGGTTTGAGTGAAGCTTATGGGATGGAGTGTATTATCATCATCATCGTCAAATGTGAAGAACAATAAATGTACATCATCATTTTGGCCTCTGCCACTGAAAGGGAGCTCTCACCAACCATTGTCAGATAGCAATAACACACACTCACACATACACACGTGCATACACTAATGCGTAAGTCTTTTAGATGTAGTCTAAAAGAACTTGGGACTTTTGTGAGACCGAAGCTCGACTGCAGGATGTCTCCTGGCCATGCAAATTCAATGAATTCAATCCAAACTGTTGTCCAGCAAGATTTTTTTTTGTTTTAATCCTAGAAAGCCACAGGAAATGTTCCATCTCTGCAGATCTGGCCTGGCCTCCGCTCATTTGCATTTGTAATTCCCTTAACACTTGAACACCACATGAACACAGGGTTGTTTCTCAAAACTTTGGACATGTTCACATATCAGCGAATGCACCATCTCCCAGTGCATGTAAAAACAAATCAGTTTAGACAAACAGACACATTACACAGTACACAATGTTCTTCAAGCTCATGGTGGGTAGTTCTGACTGCTGAAAGATGCTTTTGGCAAGTTACCGTGGCAGCAGGTTTGGTGAAGGAGCTCATTCGTGAGTCACAAAAGCCTTAAATGTCAAAGTACAGCAAAAGAGCGAGTGTGTTATTATCGTCTTTAAATTTGCATCTGTTAAAGTCTGGCATCACCAGAGTTAATATTCCCAAAACAGAAACAGAAAAAAACTCACTCTCCCAGCATGCACTGCGCTGTTTTCTACTCAGCTATGCCTCAAACAGAGCAAAGCAGACGAGGAGAAGATGAGTCTTCCCTCATTTCCCGTTTTCTTTATGACACAACCTATGTACAGTATGAGCTACGTGACAATAGAAACAAAACAGCCCATTAATAGAGAAAGAACACTGAAATATCCATTAACCACTGACTCAGGGTGACCTATCAGCAGATGACCTCCCTGATAACAAGCAGGTGGGACACAAAAACTCAGGTGAACATAAACCGGGTTCAAAAATGTGTTTTCCATCGACGAAGGGAAGTGAAAATGTGGACAAACTTGTAAAACAAAAATCACATTCCTGATATCTGTGGTTACGAAGGTAAACGCGATGAACATGCTGACAGACTCCTGAGCAGCCGCCAGTTAGAGAACGACAAAAACACCATCACAATGCACTTCCACACACACACTCTTTATAAAGGCAGGACCAGCGTGAACGAACGAGGGGTTAATATCAGCAGACGCCTCAGAGTAGAGACGCCTGCACACACTGAATTATCACAATGACAGATTTGAATTTACAGAATCCAAACCAATCCACCATATTAAAATTCAAGACAGATATTCAATTTATGACGGTTAAAAAACACAATCATAAGATGGTTTTGTTAAACTGAATAATATGAACAATACAGGAGGTGCTGGAGTGGAAGAACGAGGGGGTTGAAATTAAAGTTGGAAATAATGCAGGTCAAAGTAAACACCCTATTATTAAAATAACCTTTTACCTTTGTTTAAAAAAAAAGATTACAAAATATAAAATTAAATAATTTTGGAGTATAAAGGCACACATCTTGCACAGTGTATACAATGAAACACGGGTATTTAAAGCATGGTAGGGACTATTGTACGCTCACAAATCTGGTTAAAGTGAAGGGACACGAAGAGAACAACACAGATAGAGGGGAAGGAAACTTAGTCCTGTGACATGCAATTTTTTTAGGTTTTTTCTTACATCTATAGTGAGTATAAATTCAAGCAGTATCATTCTTCATTTACCACAGCACCATCATTCATTCCCAAGGGTGGCTCCTTATTTATTTATTTTTTTAAATACAACTATATTTCATGACTAAAATCCAATGTAAAAATATAAATGTGAATATATTCTATGATAAACAAACATATTGTGATGGAAGCTTTTTGCATGGGTTACAATAGTCAAGAAGGACGACTTTTAGTTGGTTATCCAGAAAGTGATACACAACGTCACACGCACAACAACTTTTCTCACTTACACACAAGTATATTGCATTTCCCTTGTTAAGACCGTATCAACTAATTGGGATCGTATTCGTAACATTTGGTTCCTTTCCTCTTGTGCAAAATATACAAAAAAAACCTCAAACAGAAACAAAAAAATTATTACCACATCAATTCATAAAACTGCCAAATTCAAACACAGTTAAACCACCTTTAAAATGTCAACAACAACAACAACACGAACAACGATGAATACCAGCCGAGGTGAGAGGAGAGAACGATGCTGCCGCTGTTCATTCTTCTCTTCCCCACCTCCCCCCTAATTTCACTGTCTCTCCCTTTACAACTTTTGAACACTGACACACACACACTGAGTGTGTGCTGGTACGATGCTGGAGGTAAACCGTCTCCTGCCTGCCCTGAACACAGACACACTGTAGCCGATCCCAGATCCCTCAACCCCACAGAGAGCTTTTAAAAAGGATCGTAAACGTCATTTTACAAAAGCCCCGTGAACAGAACTCCTCCACTTTCCCGTCTAATATTGCAGTAAAGTCTTCCCATCCAATCCCTACAGTCAGAAACACCAGCAGGGGAGTAACGGCGGAGGAGGAGGGATCTGGGATCAGGATTTCTAACACGTTTGTCCTCTTTGTTGCAGCGCATGTAACAGAACAAGAGCTCCTAACCTCTAATAACAAATAAAAGTGCAACATTTTTTTTATTTACTCATAAGGTGCTGATGGCAACAGAAAGTAAAGGGCTGTTGATGTTTCAATCTGACACCCCGTATGTAGATATAACAAGGAGTGACTTAAATCTCTTCAGCCACACAAGACTTTTGGGTCATCCCCTGCCACAGAAAACAATGCCCGACATATTCAGGGGGAATGCAAGTAAACAACACTTTGTATGCTCCAATCTCCTCATTTCACGGTGCGCATCCTTCCCTTAAATGATTCTTCATCACAACAAAGCGTAAGGGACAACCACTGAGGTGCAACAAGTGAACTAATCAGCTAATGAGATGTGTTTGTTGTGAGTGTGTGGCAAGAAGATAACCCAGAAGATCAACTCCTTCACTTTACACGGAGGGGTGGCGTCTAAAGGGTGAGGGATGCAGGATCAACGCAAATGGGAAGATTTGTTTGGCTGAGTATAGCGTTTGGGTGGGGGTGTGTGGCTGTTGGCCTTTTGGAAGACTGCTTCCCACTTCCTGAAATGAAGCAATTGCATCAGGCGAGGCTCAACATGTCCGTCCTCGTTACATCCCGCTCAAGCCTTGTGCCGTAATCTGACCTCTGCACTGTACACATCATACCCTCCTACTTATCATACTGAGAAGACAAAAACAAACATCAACATAAAAACAAAAGCAGGGAGCTGGATGTTGTAATAGAGGCAATACAAAAATAAGCCAAATTCCCACATAAACAACCGTACAGACAAAAACAAATAATATAAAAAAAACGTAATGACTTGGACGCTTGCTTTAAACACCCTTATCAGAGTAACACAAAAGTCAACAGAGGAGAGGTTAAATGTAAACGAATGATGGTTTTCTTTTTATAGCTGCAGAGCGTGGCACGCCACTGAAGGAGAGAGAGAAACAGGGAGGGACGAGGAGAGGGAGAGCGATACAAAGCCATCACAGCACCTTATTAATTCAGCCTCTTGATGCTTTTTCTCTCCATCACCTCTCTTCCCCGCCCTACTCCCCCCTTGCCCTCCCTTTCCCATGTGCCTCCGTGCCCCCCGTCACTCCTGGAGGCTATGACAGGATATTGGTGATGAAATCGTGAAACCTCTTGGAGTACTGCTCTGGGTTCACTGTGGAGATCTCCGCTCCGGCCTGTAGAGGGACACAGAGACAACCGTTAGTCTCCTCATGCAGTATAATCATCTAGTAACTCTGGTCAGTGTTATACTATACAATAATATACAAATATCTCCTCTTGTAAGCAGCCACATACCCCGTGTTTGACAGTCTTTGCGGCGTGAGCTGCTTTCTTCTTAGCATCGTAATGCTGAAGGATATCTATGATAGCCATGAAGTAAACCTCCTTCCTGGGAGCAGCTGTGGTTTAAAACAAAAGGCACCCTGGATGAGAACCTATTTTATTTTTGCAGAATGTCATCAGGTGCTGTTAAAAAGGATCAAATCCTTCTGACAGCAGAAGGTTAAAACACAAGTGTGAACAACAACACCCAGCAGGGGGAGCTCTCAGTACTCTATATATTATTAAGCTGTTGAATAAGTCCTTTACATTGCACAGGTTGGATTTAACATTGTATAAATCCATGAAACACATGCAGCTACTCACTGTCATTGCTTTTGATGGCGTAGACGTCGATGGTGGGATCAAACTCTCCGGGGGACAGAGGCTTGTTGCTGTCCAGGGTGTTGCTGGGGCTGTCGGGGGGCGTTCCAACACCCCCTCCGTCACTCTCGCCCTCCTCGTCGGCCTCGTTGTCTTCGCTCTCCACGTCTTCTTGCTCAGCTCGCTCCACATCGTGGATCCCAACCAGCAGACTGTAGTCCATGAGCTTCAGCTGGGCCAGGAACTGAGGACGAGGGAAGATGGCAGAGGGAATTAAAGCAGGGAAAAGAGAGCTATAGTTTAAAAAGGACAGGGTTGTGGAAATAGAAAATGTACTAATATAATGTGTGTGTTGTAATGTGGATGAACACATACCTCCACGTCTTTCCTGAGTTTCTCCAGGAACATCTTCTTGTTCTCCCCATCAATGTGGATCTTCTGTCCGTTATTGATGAAGTCGTTGTCCTTGTAGGTGGGCAGCTCCTTGGCCTGCCCATTAGTATTGGAGATTAGCAGCCAAATAAACAACAGTCAAAAACACGACAACAGACGGCTTGAACCTGAGAGACCTGGGTGAAAAATGCAACAGAAATCTGACGCTCAAATCTTTGATAAAAAGAGAAAGTGGTCCTAAATATTAAGCTAATTTAATCAGACACATTTAAGTCCTTAGATATTAATAAAAGGTCAACATTTGACTAGAAATATTGACTTAAAGGAATAACACCGGCATCAGTGTTCTTCATACATTTCACCCAGATATCATTAATAATATACCTGATATGTTACACAGGACTAAACATAGTTCATCTATATGAATAAAGGGGTATTTCTAAATGCCTAATGACAAAGATGAAGTCTAATCTTAGTGTTCACAATAGATCTGCCTGACATCCTGCATGTTGAAATAACCCGTTGGTAGAAATAAGACTTTGAGCCTGTGTTTTTTCAGATAAGCCTCTCTTGCCAAAGACAACACATATAACTTGTAAAATGAGTTGTCTGACAAAGTACAGGCCGTCTGTGATCAACTGTACATGCAGCATGCTCACAGCAGGGTACAGATCCACCTCATGCACTTATTTGCGTAAATTCTCATTGTTTTCATTGAAAGGTAAACAAAAGGGCACATATCATGTTGTTTGCACATTGCACAGAAGTCTCGAAAGCGTTATTGATGCATGTGGTGGATCCACACTCTTTGTGTCATGCAAAAAAAGGACGTCCAACTCAAAGCCATGAAACGTCCTTGTTGGCACTGGGCTGCTCTCCCAAAAGCACCCCGTCATTTAAGATGCTTCTCGGAAACTAAACTGTGGATTGCATCTAGTATAAACTACTTCTATAACTCTGTACATTCCCTCTATTCAGCAGAACCAAGGAGTTTCCTATTTAGGAGTCGCTCTACTGGGATTAATGTCTCTGACCAGTACGGGGAGGAGGTGTTATGTGAGGAGGGACGGGGCCTAGTTCTGATTGGCTGAGGAGGAGGAGAGCAGGACATGAGGAGCAGCAGCAGATCAGCAGCAGATCAGCTGCTACAGTGTCTCTACAGCAGCAGGAGAAGAGCAGCAGCACTACAATGAGCTTAGACAACACACACAGACACACACATACACTTACACCTTCACACAGATGGTAATACATCTCACAAATAGGACATTTGAGCACATATTTTAACAGACATGGACCTCCAATTGGCAAGAAATATGGGATGGACAACTTGCTCGACTGAATATAGATGCAACATACAAAGTAAATGAAGACGCAACATAAGGCTGAGAAGAGAGTGAACATCACGGTTAAAGTTCTTTGCAGGTCTGTCACCAAATCATCTCTTACATTCATCCATCTCTGCACTTTAAATCTCAACTTTATTTACAGAGTCAGACCGGTTCATTAAGTCTTTATCCCAGTCATGCAGAGGTTTCTATGAGAGTAATGAAATGTGTCTGACTCTTGAGTTGTGCACTACGCTGAGGTAGTAAGTAGAAAAACAGAAAGATATATTAGAGTCAGGAAGAGAGGGTGGGTAGTTGATGCGGGTTGTAAAGCTGTGTGACAGGTGAATTCTCTCAGAGCTTAAAAACAATAGTAAAAGGTATTTTCTGCTTCCTGCCAGCTGGCCATGTTGATCTCACGCCGTCTCAGAAGAACAAAGTGATGCAGGATTTCTGCAACACCGAAACTTAATGGACGCTGCAAATAGTTTGCATCGAGATTGTGTCAAATATTCGCTTTGATAACCAAACTATTTGTGTCCCTTTATTAAAAGCAACATACATAAAACCCATTTAGAAACTACACTTTTTTGATAGAATAGAAAATGTTCCCCGAAAACTAGAGACAGAGGTAATTGGCATTTCAAGGATTACTGCCATACCGATTCTAAATATGCTCATTATCTCGGGAGGCTTTTATATATTTAAAATAAGAAAACTGGCCAGTCATATTAGCTGTGGTCAAATGACCAGCTAATATAATACAGACATGAAACAAACCTGGGGAAACACCAGCTCATTTACTGCTCAATACACTTTCATTATAAAAAGTGTTTCAGCTGCAATGGGATGCACCGTCTTTATCAACGGCTTGAGAACATATTGTTTACCATTTCAGTGATTTGATGACTTCCATACACTGCTGTGATCAATGCTGTCTGCTTATCCACTACAGAACATAGAAGACTTCTGTGTAACTTACCTAGTTTCAGTTTTAAACTTGGAATTAGAAATAGCAACAAAGCAAGGAAGTTCCCCCTCTGAAATAATGTGACTTTCCAGGAATGTAAGTATGTACTTTCTCTTTCCAACTCTGGTTCCTGAATTATTTCAGCAGTGTCCTTCCCATTCACGCCGTCACCTCACTGCTTCACTTCTCGCCCTCCAGTGTTTCACAAACATGTCGGTGCCGTTGAGTGAATGGTGGAAACAAAAACAAACTTAAACCGAACTTGCTGAGCAAAAGGTGACTGTCGATGGATGGAGAGTGTGCAAAATATGGACTTTAAATAACAGCTTGGAGAGGACGAGGAAACGAAAATGCTCGGCCGTACAGTAAATAATAATAAAAAAAGATTGTTTTAATAGATCATGCCTGGTATATATATGAGCCCTGGTTCCTTACATCTCTTACGTGTTTCATGGCGCAGTAAAAGCGCGTGGCAATCCGAAGGGTTTGCAGCCTTTGCTGAACGTTACCAGATTTGGGCCGCGGGGGCACATCCTCTGGTTGGGGCGGCTGCTAGAGAAGGGGGAGCGAGGGAGGGTCGGTAGGGGTGGAGGAGAGGAGAGAAGAAAGGAGAGAGGAAGGGAGGAAGGAAGTTGGAAGTAAAGGCAAAGTGTTTAAAATGTTACAGCACACAATTGTTTTCTCAAATTGGTAGAGGGTTGGAAAGGGCTTGAACGCGAAGGGTCCGTTTACATTTTCTCCAATGTTTTTGCAACTGTGTCTAAGAGTGTTGTCCCATGACAATGCAAATAAGTGCATTTTAAAAGAATTATACTCAATAGGACTTTATTTATATTTAATGTAGCACGACTTTAGTCTGCCTACACTGGTATTCAAACTGTTTCCTGGTAGAGAAGGAAGCAGACTGCAGCGCTACTCTAAAGGAGTTAGGAGCTGGAACTACCAAGAGCAAGAAAACTGAGTAATTTACAACTATGTCTTCTGACAAACATCTATTCAGGTGTGGTACTATTTCTACGGGCTTTCAACGAAGTGGATAAGGAGCTACTAATAAAATAGCAACACAGTTCACACTCAGTCATACGGACACATTAAAGCCATGTGCCCCCACAGGCAGAGACGAGTGGTTTTCCACAAACCAAAGACCACCAGCTTACAAACATAACCTTTATTTCCAGGTCACATGACAAATACCGCATGACTCACCTACAGCTGTGTTTGCTACGTTGTGGGTTAGTGGCCTAAATGACTTTTGCAATGAAAGTAAAATAAACTCACTTTTACGATATGATTTGCCTAAGTGAAAGCTAATTGACAGATTGGGCTATAAAAAACGAACGTGTACACCCACTGATCATCTGCCTGGTTAAATGTTGTACATTAAAATGTGTCAGAAAGCCAAACCCAGAAAGACAGCAGCTTCTAAGAAGAACCGCAAATGTATTTGTAAAAATACATGTCACATGTTGGTAAAACTGAACATGTTCACAATGTGCAACAGAATGGAGTTGGTGTTCATACACATCGAAATGTGTAAGAAATAAAGTAAACTTAAAAAGATGCAAAAAAACATTTTAAACCATGCATGAAAGGGAGACGGGCATGCAGTCAAGAGAGAACCCTGCCATGCTTGTTGGTTGTGTGGGTGTAAAGCAATTATTTTTTCCTCTCACACACACACTGTACCTTCTGAAAAACTCATGTTATCTCTCATTTGGCATGATGTACCCTCTTCTTGATTATACAAGCTGTCTGAAGTGAGTGTGTGAGTGTTTTACTAATATAAAGTAGTGTTAGCGTTCACATACTGGAATTTAAGTACAAAAAAATGTTTTCAGGAAAGGGAAGACATCATTTCTATTGCCACTGAGCACTTGTAGTAGTTAACTGCAGATTAATTTAAGCATGTCTGTAAGTGTGTGTAATATATACAAAGGTGTTTCATGTGGTGAAACCTGCACGTCTCATCAGATCCTCCTCTTTGATGGTTGAGCCTTGTGTGTCTGAGGCCTGTTGTTAGCTGGGTGAGAACGTGTGCACATTCAAAGGTGTGTGTGTGATCACGTACTGTGTTTTGTATTTTGCATTCTGCGTGTTTTTTGACATGTAAAACAATACAATGCTAACTGCATTAGGTGCACTTCACTAGGAACAACTACAGAATTCCCACAGCAATACATTCATTTGTGAGTTAAGAGTCAGTGGTACTTTTCATTCATGATTTAAGCTTAACAAAAATGAGTTCTGTTGACACAGCGAAGCCGCAGACAAATTAGGTCACAGGAGCTCTACGTGCGCTTTAAACCCTCAGCTGCTTTTTTCCATTCTTCGGTTTAGACCCCATTTTTTTCGTCTTCCATTTACAGGAGGTTATATTTAGTTCGGGGATTCCCTGAAGTTCTTTATGCCTCACTGCATGGTGCCCCACGATTAAGCCCCTGTAAAGCCCGGCAGTGGAAAGTTCAAACCCCTGTGGGTCATTATTGAAACTGTTCTCATGTAAAAACCTTTTTCCACGGTCAGACATAACTTGGAAGAGCAACGAGTGGAGAACAATTCGGACAAGCATCCCTTTTCAATACTGACAGGTCAAACCAACAGTGGTCCAAAGTCAAAGTGTTCCAGGACGCCGTCGGCCACTTCCATCAGTTAAAGACTTTTAGATCTATAAATGCCTATATCTGCTACCACAAGTTTAACAGGAAGCACACTCAACCATCAGGTGCAGCACGATTTCAGCCAAGAGCAAGAACCGAAAATAGCCAGTCTCACACAAACAGCAACATTTCCATCACTGTCAGTCACAGAAAAGCTTATATATACTGCCCACTCACACACAATCAGATACACAGCTACATAGAAAACACACAATACACAGGACTACCCAACATCACGAGACATCTGATAGGATAAAACCCAACACAGACACACACGCCTCAATCTCTCTCACACAGACAGCAGGCAGGGGAACTGGTGGAAGAGCAGAAGCGAGGTTAGAGGGGATGAAGCAAATTAAAGAGACACAGAAAGCGTGCAGGGGCTAGAAGGGGAATGGGGTGATGAAGTAGGTGCTAACTGAAGGAGATGGATATGTGCTACTGTCATCCCCGCGCAAAGGGAAACAACGGGACTAAACACTCGTTAGTTGCGCCATTTGGGTGATGACAGTAAGCCTGGAATAGTTTGAAGCTGTGTGGGTAATTCAAACCACTGGAAACAGTTTGCTCTCTCTCTGCTTCTCTAAGTGTCAGCATGGCTTTCAATGGACGGGGAATCAAATCAGGAAAAAGTATATTTGTGAGAAAATAAAACATACCAGTGTTTCTGAACACTTTTTAACGGACCTTGTTCCTAATTTATCATCAGCTTAGTGCTATAAAAAGTGTCCATCTGTTCAATCCACACCGACTCTGACCTCTAATGTTATCAGAGCCTGCTGTTCTTTCAGCAATGCACCTTCAGAGGCTGCAAGGACAGCAGCCTGTTTGATGGACATAAACAGCCTTTGAGTAAGCTACACGATCTATAACCCAAGCAGGGCAGTTATTTAGTTCACCTGTCTTGTGTCCAGCACACATGTGGTGCCGATACGCTTGTAGAAAATCAGTTTTGTGACACGCTAGCGGTGTGGATTGTCTTTTTTCATTTGATGTGTTTTTCTCAGATGTTTCTAACCCTTTGTTATGCTAGTTGGACTTACTAACTTTCTTTTTAATGGTAGCACTCTGAGTTTATATAATTATTATTGTTGTTGTCTTTTTAAAGCATGAATGAAAGGTTAGGATGCCCTTCCTCTACTGAAGGTTAAAGCTGTGGGTGTGTAACAGCGGACCCCGGCTCTCGACAGGTGACTGTACCTTCTCCTTATCGCTGGCCTCTCGTGCCACAGTGGAACCCTATAAACAAAAGAAAGGAAATGACTATTATTATAATTGTTTAAGTCTTTCCCTTACCACTGTACTTATACTCATTCCGGCAGATGCTCATTACCCGTGGGCATGTCTGAACACAGAAGCTGACCTTATTAGGCAATGGCTTTAAGTGGATTAAAACAGCTTCAGTGGTTATCTGATGCTCTCAGCCCTGTTTTACAACACGTATTACCCACTGGATAATGCCTGTAGTTTAAAACATACAACCTTGTACGACAGTTACAATTTATCTTTTGCGTTTGAGTAAAAACAGGCATTTCTTTTGGGACACAAAAACTATCAAATAAACATCTTAATTCTTGCACCGAAGCTCAGATGATCAGTCACAACAAGTATTTGAAAAATGAGTCGCAAAGAGACTGGTGTAGTGCAATTATAGATAACATTTACATAATGTCTTGTGATATTAATGCCCTATCTGATCACTTTTCATTCCCTTACGTTCCTGTATGGGTTTTCCCCTCCTACCTTGAGATCATATTTCTTGTAGACGGAGAGTCTGTGAGAGAAGACATTGCGTGTAACAATCATGTAGGTCTCGTCTCCATCCACGGTGAGCCGGTAAATCCCCAGAAACTGAGGCAGCAGCGTGTTGCCATGGCACTCCACGATGAACTACGAAAAGACAGAAGGAATATCTGTCAAAGCTCTGACATACCACGACAACAATCACATAAATCTGTTCCCTGACACTTATTGATGTTGAAACGCTGGGTAAAAGGTTCCTGACTTATGCCCGTAGGCCCGTGTGTCAGCGGGCAGAAATAGTACAGATGCACATTACAATTATGCACACGTGCTTATAATGTCCTATTTCGTTGCAGTTCCTTCGAAGAACGAGTGCAAAAGATAGGGTCTGTGGTTGAATGGTCTTTTTATTCACGTAAGGATTCCAAACTGAGGGAAATGACCCAGAAGTATTTAAGTGACAGCCATGACAAGAGAGGGTCCAATTCTCTAAAAACTAAGGAAAGGTGCTTCAATGCTTCCTTTCTTATCCCCTTTAGCATAGGCTACAATGAATCATCCTTTATGAAAGGAAAGGAGATAATGCCGTCCCATAATTCCTTGCAGCAGCAACAGTGATGACAGAGCCACATCAATAATCCATCGTTGCATAATTATGTTGCCTAATGTTATTGCAGTGGGATTCTCCTAGCTGTCGATTCCTAAGTCCTTATAAATGTCCCCTACACATCTTTCCTTGACCTCATGGTGTTTTATATCAAGATTAAGGCAGCGGAGATAAGACAGGATTAGACGCTTGTTTCAGAAGAGTTTGAGGAGAGAACATTTTAGTTTCTGAGCTGTTTCGAATCTATCAACGACAAACGGTGTTATGATGACTTTCTCATTGAAGAATCAAGGCTTGCATTTGTATAAGATGTAATAAGATAAGCTGTCATTACCTGATGATATTTCTTCAGGATGTTATGCATCTCTGCCACATCCTCACTGCTGATGGTCTTGACCACGTAGCGTTTGTCATAAGAGGTATGGAAACGCGCCCCACTGCGACCCTGGGCGTCACTGTTCAAGGGAGCGCTGCGTGTCAGGGAGTTCTGAAAACAAACAGGGAAAACACAGAAACATTATAAATAACGTTCATCAGGATGCACACACTACGATATGATCAGCTGTCACCTTTTGCATTATCGGCCCTGCCTTTAAAGAAACAAGTGTTTATTACTTTGTTATCTTAACTTGTTTTCCCTCTAGCCTCTGGATACCCGACCACCTCCCACTCTAAACATGTGGGGTTCTGACCCCTACACACACACACACACACACACACACACACACCACACACACCACACACACACACACATCACACACACACACACACACACACACACACACACACACACATCACACACACACACACACACACACACACACACACACACACACCACACACACACACACACACACACACACACACACACATCACACACCACACACACACACACACACACACACACACACATCACACACACACACACACACACACACACACCACACACACACACACACACACACACACACACACACACACACACACACACACACACACACACACACACACACACACACACACACACACACACACACACACACACACACACACACACACGTAACATGATACAACACCCCTGGCTCAATGCCTCATTGTCCAAGAATGTCTCATGTCCTCTGCCCTCAGTTCCCTTTCCCCTCTGCAACTCAAGCAAAAGATGCTGTGACTTGAACAGTGAGGATCAACGGTCTGGCAGCATTTCTCTCTTGTATTTAGACCTTAAATTGGTTGCAGTCTTGATTCTAGGGGTCCCTTGAGAGAGCTTTCTAACGGCGGAGTAACATTAAAGTGGTTTGTGTCACAGGATGAAAATGTTTAAGAGGCCCTTTGCCTTAGGCTGGCATAGATGAAAAAGCTCCATGATCCTAATGTTTTGTTTTAGTTAGTCATTTTCTCCACCAGGCATTCATCAGAATGCTTAAAAAGGTTAATCTGTTTGCACTTCAGTTACCCGTCCAAAACTTAAATGTAATACTGCTAGCATTGCTCATTAAAACTGACGGTTACTGTGCATGTCATCAAAAGAGCCTGCAGCTGGTGGTGACCAATGAGTAATATCACCAATTAGAAATGGTACCAACGGGCTTTTAGAGCCAGGGCAAAACATACTAACCAATAAACCTTTTTAAACACAATGTGGCTCATGTAGGAAAATAAGTTTAATGTTGGGAATGTCACAGCATTCCTCTTTACTGGCCAGTGTCTTAACACCCCCACTGCCCACTCTATAATGTAAACATGTGAGACGGACAGCTGCACTGAGCCGGGACACAACGACCTCCAAATACTGCCAACTCATACCCTGCACTGGGGATGGGGATTTACTGGGGAGGAGTGGGAAACATAGGAAATCAAGGCTGAAACAAAAGAGGGGAAGGAAAAAGTGCAACACTGTTCTCGGTAATACTGTGATCACATTTGTTTTGAAACAGTTGCATGTTTTCCAGTGAGCTTCGAGCACCTGGGGGTTTCATTACTGAATAAACAAGGTTCGGATACATTTTACCTGCAAAATCATCAGACTGTCTTTAGTAGCTGGAACATTAACCTAGTACTACAGGAATGACATACTAATCTATATATTTGACCCATAAAGGTAGAAACATTGCTCGGATGTTTACCAAGAAGTCCTGATCATCGATGCCAAACCTCTCTCTGAGGTTTCGAAACACCAGAGGGCAGTACTCCTTGAACTTGAAATGGCTAGGCATGTTCTCCCTGAGTGAAGATAAAAGCAAAACATCAGAGTGACAGAACTGAGTATATGAGATGGTCAAGGCAGGTCTGAAATAACATTCAATTATATACAGTATTTCATTTTGTCTGGAAATACGTTCATAAATATCATACTAAAAATGAACTTACTTGTTAAAGAGGTGGTTGTCCACTTTGATTTTAGAGTACGCCTTGAAGTCGTCTGGCATGAGCATGATGGGAATCTGAACGTGGCTCAACTCATTTATCTGTCAGGAAAAACACAGGAAAGAGGAAGAAAGAGGATCAGATATAGCAACCCAAAGCAGTATGAAACATGTCGGTAAAATGACATTAGAAATGCTAGACGTGAAGCCTTGGGATAGTGCGCAGAAAAAGAGTGTCTCACTGTGGAAATATAGGCAGAACCAAGACAAACATCACCAATCATTCCCACTGATAAACATGATGTTGTTGACTGACAGGCATCTCTGTAAATGGAGTGGCAAAGCCTTAAGTAGAAAATACATTGACTTGATGTGGACAACAAACATCTGATGCATGATACTGGAGCTTTGCATCCATACAGCCCCCGTCACACTGTCCCGAAATTGACACCCGATGAACACACGATGAAGGAAATGTTCAAATTCGGCTGTGATCGTAGCAACATCGGGCCATTCGTGAGGGCATCTAAGTCATCGTATGACCGCCGGTGGAGTTTCTCAGGCTCCGGCAGCAACTTCGTGAGCGGCAACTTCGTAAGGCACTCGTGAGGACATCTTGTCGAATCGTGTCATCTTCGTGTTATCATCGGTGCATTCGCCCTCACTCTGATCGGGGCGAATGCCCGATGGCACCGATGATAACAAGATGCCCTCACGATGGCCTTACGAGGGGCAAAATTGACACACGAATTCAACACCAAAATGAACCTTCGCAAGGTCCTTCGGCAATTTGTTGGCATGCCAAAGATTTTGCCACCGCTCACGAAGTTGCTGCCGGAGCCAGAGAAACTCCACCGGCGGTCATACGATGGCTTAAGATGCCCTCACGAATGGCCCGATGTTGCTACGATCACAGCCGAATTTGAACATTTCCTTTATCGTGTGTCCATCGGGTTGTTTTATTGCACAACAAAATCATGTAAACATATTATGTAAATAACCCAATTTGTGTTCTGTGAAATAATATATTATTTTGAAGGAGAGTTGACAGGAAGTTGTTGTTGCTATGGAAACAACATTACGGAGAAAACGTAATATTTTCTACATATAAAGACGGATAAAGTAAAGAACAAAGTCTGAAGATATCAGTACAGTATCATAGTACTGTAACATAATTGTTTTTGGTACTTTCGTTGCAGTTGTTTGTCTTAAATGTAATGTAAATGTTGCCTTCGTGTGTGGTTCGGGGCCATCTTCGTGCGAAATTCACAATTCCATATTCGTGTGTCCATCGGGTGTCAATTTCGGGACAGTGTGACAGGGCCTTTACAGTTTTCTCTGCTTCATTAAAGAAGAAGAAAAGACTCTCTGCCAAGGCATTAGAGCTGAAGTTAATTACAAATATTCAGATTTGATTATTAGCAAATCTTAAAGTGATGTCGCTCCTGCATAAAAGGTCATCTTAACATCCTGCAGTCTGTGACGCACTGCTATTTTCCTATCATCTAGTTTCAGTGTGTTCACAGTTCAAAGGCAGATATACTTTTTCTCAATGCGTGATGACGTTTGTCTTTGTGCATTTCTCTTCTTGCTGAAATGCTTTTTTTAATATCAGTGCGTAAGTCTGTCTTACCCTCTCTTCAGATACATCGGGTCACAAAATGTCTTGATGTGGTGAGATGAACTGAGCTTGACTATATGACTTAGACATTTATAATTGAATGCACATTTACGGTGGTGATATCGATCTTACAAAACGCACAATTACAAAGCACTTCCATAAACCTTGCACGATGAATAACTAAATAAAAAAACAGCGGGGCGTTTGACACATACGGCATTGCAGGGGTTTCCATTTGGAGCTGGTCATGCATCACCTTGCTGTAATATGTAGACCTGACATTTGTTATGACTCAGACACAGCGTGATACAAATATAAAGCGTGTTTGTGTGTGTGAGAGTGTGTGTGAGTCTGTGTGTGTGTGTGTGTGTGCTTGCATATTCTTTGTTGGCTGCAGGCAGGAGTGCTGGCAGGTTTCTTGAATCTATTAATAACCCGTCAGTCCACCAAGCACACTGCTAATGTAGGTGCACTAAATCAACTCAAACATTTGAGCTTTGATTGACTTGAACATAAATCATGAAATATGTGTGTGTTCCTTCACAGTGATGCCCCAAATGTACTTCAAGATGTCTACATTGTTGCTCACAGCTAGGATTGTGCAGAAAGACAAGAGGTGGTATCACAATTCCAGAAGCTGCATTAGGAGGCATCACATATTTGTTTCCCACTTGCATATTGACTAATGCTGCAGGAGTATTATGGTGCAGAGACTTTGCATATCTAACTAAGAAGAGGGCTTTTTAAAACAGTATTCCTTAAACATTTCTCTGATATTAATCTCAGGATTTTGTGTTTGACCTCATTGACATCAATGCACTGCACTGTCAAGGCTTTTAATGATACGATTATAGCTAATCCCTACTGACTTATTATGATGAACAGGTTGACCGTGGTGGACGAGTACCTACTTGATCCCTTGGCCTCCCAAATTAGTACATTTGTGTGGCCCAGTAGTCGCCCATATTTAGATCTAGACTTTTGACATGAAGGACTGCCAGATAGTCTGTCAGACCAGGTAGATGCGGTCGACTGCAGTAGAGGTATTTATACAATAAGTACATCATTAATTGTGAAATAAGCAACATAACTTCCCAATTGTGGAGGGGATCAGAGTTTCCCACAGAATTTGATTCTATTTGTGGGGGCACCGCACCCCCCCGGCAAAAAAAGCCAAAGGCCCCTTAAGCTATTCGGGTGGCTCACGCATCCACCCCCTCCTCAAATAAGAAAATACATGCGAGTTCATGGCTACTGTAGACAAGGTTCTTGTTGCTCTGTGTTGCGTTGGTAGTGAGTGAGACACCCTGGAGTTGAGGATCGGTGGGGTTTATTCTCCCAAAAATATGATTTAGGCTTTTAGCAGACGCCTTATTCCAAAGTGACTTCCAATGACCAGTTACAGGGACATTCTCCCTGGAGTAACTGACGGCTAAGTGCCTTACTCAAGGGCACACTAGTAGTGGTGTTCCAGGGGGGATTTGAACTCGCAACCTTCCGATCATCAGCCCACCTCACTATCCATTAGACCAACAAAAAAAAAATTTTTTTTTTTTTTACGAGATCCATTTGTGGCGGACGATATTTAGTTGTGGCGGAAATAAATCAACGTATGGAAAACACTGGGGATATCTACCTTGTTAATAATAATAAAAATCAGCTACTGTAGATTTTGTCTGCAATTTATAGCCAGTGTGTTAGTAAAAGTAAGAGTATACAATGTGTGTTAAAAAAAAAAGAAGCCCTCTGACCTACTGGCTCGCTGGGTCAATTGTAAAACAAATCTGAAATGCTGAAGTCTGCAAAAGCTTGTCCAGTTATGTGCAAAGGTCAGCCTTTGCACACTATTCCCACTTGTCCTTCAACCAGCTCAGCAAACACACACAAACAGCATTTCAAGAACAAGGCTGGTTACTGTGCGTACGGCACTTTGGATTTGTCTTACTTTCATGTGAAGGTTACAATTCAAACCGTCTACTTTCCTACATGTTAAATACCCTCTGGATTAGTGGTGATTAGTGTTAGGAAAGTGTGCATTGTTAATAGAAGATACATTAACAGCAGGAGATGCTTTTAAGAAAGGAAGCGTGTAAAATAGGAGAAGTCATATCTGGGAAGCGTATCTGAAAAGAGAGGAAAGAAAGAGATAATAAAATGAGGGTATTAAAGAGACGGCTCAAGCGGAGGATTCCACAGATGTCATATCCGAGTATATTTCAGTTCCCTGGTGCGACAGGCACAAACGTCACAGTGATGCTATAGCACAGATGCATCATGGGTGGGGAGATGTCGCCTAATCAACAAAGCTGTGTTTCACACAAGGAGGAGACAATGCCTGATCTTAGCAAGCACACTTACACAAATAGACAAGCATAAACAAGCAGGCCCATTGCACACAGAAAAAAATACTTGAATCTGAAGTGAGCGCAGTGTGTATCTTTTCAAATATCCCCAAATGTCCCTGCCACGCCTGTTTTTGTAGAAAGGATGTCACAAGAACAGATGGTGCAGTACCAGGTCGATTCAAGTCTAAAAATGAGACGGTAGAGTTTGAAGGAAATGTTTTCACAGTGTTATAAAATAGATATTAAAAAGGGAATTATGAGCGGTTTGACTTCCTAACTAAGAACATATGCAAACGGTAACAAAGCAGTTTATGTTGACGTAAATGGGATTCATTTGTTGCAGTTATATTTGAGTGTGGTACCGAAATTAGGTATCAAGAATCTAGGAATTCCACTGGTACTGGTAACAACAACTGCACTTTTGGTATCGTTAAATCCCTATTTTGTACAGTACTGTTTCAGCAGCTAATGTGTCTCTTCCTGAAATTATTCACGGTTCCCTAAAAAACTGTAAACAGAGTTATAGTTAAGATCAGAATGACTCGATAGCTGTTTTTACAAATAATGCTTTTGACATTGATCACTGTTATGTATCCTTTTTGGTTTGGATAGCAATGTTTTTTTCTCATAATTGCATTGATACAACTAATCCACCCTAACGTACATGTAGTCCTCACATTAACTGCTAGGAACTTGTCATCATTTATATCTTGAGCAAATCTGCCTATCTTCCTGCAGATATCAAACTTGCAGACAAATTTCACACCACCACTTCCTGTTTGTCTCCATGGTGATGAAGACTTGTTTTCCGGCCCGAGTGAAGCGTGTGTTGTTGCTCCATTGGACAGGAAGTTGGTGAAGAGAGTGTGCACAGTCAGCAGCACAGCCTTATCTCCCTGAACAATGACAGTGGCTCTTAGCAGATGGCAGTGAGAGTGCTGCAGCGGTGAGATTAGAACACCTTTTACTTGGAAATATATCTAAATGTAACATTGGGTAATTTCTTTGGAACAGGATGCATGACAAAGACGGAAAATGAAAGTGTAATCAAAAAAAGAAAGAAGCAAGACTAATCAGATATGAAACCAGGATGAAGTGAGACGTTCGACACTTCACAGGAAATCTCTCATCTGTGA